CTGACCGAGGACTCCTAATGATACATACTTGCAAAAAGTTTGTTTTCTCTGGTTAAATATCTGTTTTTCTGCAGGGAGACGTGTCAACAAGATTCTACTTTATATATATATATATTTGCCTTCCAGCTGACCCAACCTTGAATGGGTACCAGGTAAAGTCCTGGGAAGTGAAGCCGCTAGTGTGATGCTGACATCACCCACCAAACGCTATCACTCTAGGTCTAGAACTATATACCCAATAAGTCTAAAGGATCCAATATACTTTATACTACATATATATATATATATATAAAGACAAAAAATATGCAAGGCAAAAACATTAACAAAAATTGACAAAAACATCCAGTACTTTCAGGACCCGAACCCACTACCTTTCGATCCGTAGGCTAGCGTCTAACTAGTGAAAATGACAAGAGAAAATATGTACTATTTGTTTTAATAAGTACTTGCCAGTTGAGGCTGCAACTGCACCCATGAGGACGGCGGGGACAGCCATAACGAGGCAGAAGAAGCCAGAGATATAGCTGAGGTTCTTGGCCACAGCTGTGGATCTGGAGGACAACACCCTCTGCCAGAGTTCCTGCACCAAACAACGGCATTCTGTTATCACATGTAACTCAAGTCACAAAGTAGAAGCTTTTAGGTGGCGACTGCCGCCCTTTTGGCGTGTGCTGATCTGATGTGTTACCCTATGTTGGTTGTTATAAGTAAGTAAGTGACCATTTCCAAGCTTTCAGTTGTAATGGGCAGGTAGTCCCAGATCTATAAATTATAGAGCCATTGGGATTCGGTGTGTTGTGTGGTCAGCATCAACACCGACCGTCTTCACTTCCAAGGACTGTACCTGGTACCCACTCAAGGCTGGGTTGACCTAAGAGCCAATTTAAGGTCAATGTTTAACACACACACACACACACACACACACACACACACACACACACACACACACACACAAGTCAGCCTCCATTAGGACCCGAACCCACGAGTTGGCTTGTTAAACAGTTTAGGAACTAGAGAAACGCTTTCTCATTTCCAGTAACGCCTGACCAGTAGATCTGTCCATATGGTGGTTTATGTGTGGGAATTCTCATGGAGGTGGAATTTGTTTGAACATGTAACAAAGACACGTGTGTCCTTCCAGTCTTTAGTAAGTGGCAGAAGGAAAGCAAACGCTACTGGCATTTTGGTGGACACATCACACACTGAGTGTTGATTAGATGAAAATGTTGCCCTTGCAACATACACAGAAAAAAAAATACACACATAAATGTATTAATATAAATATAAACATGTACAAACGCCATAGCGTGAAAGTTATTCTTTGCACGTTACTTAGAAACTCTGAGTGCACACCAAAAGGCCGTGAATTTTCTCGCAGTTTTCCTCTGTCACTATTTCATATATATATATATCCAGTCGTCGCCAGTTTTTATCTTCCCACAACGTCTTTTTGAGTACACAAAGGTTTTGCAGGAGATGCTCAGGTAAAAAAAAAAAAAAAAAAAAAGGATAACAAATGAGTATTACCTTCAAACGACTGACTTCTGGAAAAAGCAGATTTTTCATAGCATGCTCGGGCTAAATATAAAATGTACGACAACATATCACATGTTTGGTGGAATTCACAGAAGAGCTTATCATTCTTTACACATTGTTTAAGATTGAAAGATTTCAGATACTTTTTTTCTACAAATAACTGACAGGAAGACGAAGTGACTCCAACGAATCTCACCTGCCACGGTATTCCACCGAAGATCAACAACAGCCAATAATCGATGTAGTTGCCGATGTAGTTATTGTCTAGGTGTCCGAGCCAGGTGGCCGAGTTGTTGGCTGTGATGGGAGTTGTAGCCTCGTGGGTCATGGAGAAGGGCACACAAACCCACTGTGCTCCAAACAAAAGAGTCAACTCATATTTTTATAAATAAATAAAATTAAAAGGCTTAGAAAAACATTAAAAATAATTCAACACTAATTAAAATCACATCTATTAAAAAAAAAAATAATAATTTCACTTTTAGTATCAACAATTATAAGACAAAGATGACACTGTAACTGTTCGGTCCCGAAAAAGACACAACAAGAGAATCACCAAACATCAACTGAAGGAGTGAGTGAGTGAGTGGTAAATGAGTGAGTGAGTGGTGAGTCTCAGGGATGTTTAACCCATCCAGGGCCGCACAACGAGCGATCCACATCCTGCGCATGACATGTAGCAGTCAATATACATTGCGTAAAGAAGGATGTTCAATTTTGTTCCAGACAGAAAACAAAAGAAAAATAGCCACCCCCTTACGTAGGGTTTGAACCTAGGTCTCCTGCATTAGCACCTAGAATCCTAGATTGTAATCAAATAAAAAAATTAGGTGAATCAAAATTGATTTAAATAAAAACAGTCGACATCAGTTTTTAATGTAATGACTGAAAAATCATCTTCAGAATTAACACACAATAAATTTAAAAAATGAGTCAGCATCATCGTCATGTAGCAGGTCCTTTGCAGAAACGTCGCTCTCATCACAGTCTGCCGGAAAGAAACTCGGTCTCTCGCCAGATCTCCCGCCTCATGCACTTTCACACTCAAGGAGTCACTTATATCCTGTGCACATCTTCGCGTCGGTCGGCGCCTGCCCCTCCTTCCTGGTACCAAGAAATAAATGAGTAACAACTAATATCTGTGACTTTGTGTGCCGTGCTATTTCAATGGTATCAGGGTTTTATTTCACCAATCACTAGTATGTTTATTTAATCCTTAAAAATGTATGACATCAGGATAACAAAGGTTTGAGTTGGCGAAGTCGTTTCGATGTTCTAATTATAAGTCTTAGAAGGTTAAATGGGCTATAAATGATGTGTCCTGATATACATGAATTACATGTATGTATGAATTACACACCAGAGAAACGAGCCCTGTAACTTAGACATAATGGAAGCAGAAGCAGAGGTCGACCGCGCAAGAAACGGATAGATGGAATATCCGAGGCCGTAAAAACCAGCTACTACGCAGCACATAGCAAGGCTCGGCCTCTTCAAAATATGACGCTGAAAGGAAATACAAGACTTAAGTTAAAGAAGAAAAAGGAAGAGGAGGAGGAGAAACAAGACTGAGCTTTCTCGCGTACAATGATGATGATGATGATGATGATGATGATGATGATAATGATGGATCCAGCAATGGCTAAATCTAAATGGCCGTAGACACTGACCAGTCCGACAAATATGCAGATCAGTTGAACGACATCCGTGTAGGCCACAGAGTACAGGCCCCCAACGATGGTGTACAACAGGGCGATGACTGCAGACACAATGATGGCGATTTCGAGACTGATCCCCAGGATGACTTTCAGAGTGGCGCCTGGAGCATGGAGACAGATTATAATAAATACACGGTTAACTACGTCTAAATACTCATCATTGACTAAAGACAAAATGCAAGTATTAATGAAGGATGAGGACAGAGCAGCTAACCTAGGTAAGTAAGTCTTCCGGTGTCCAAGGGTGGATGAATATCACGGAACATTTCATTTATAGTCCGTTTCAGAAATCATGCCTAGCATTAATAATCTATAAATCTGCAACCGTTATATGCAGTTGTGGAATTTGACTTGCAACCTGTTAATAATCATGTCTATGTAAACAAACATTTAGCTTTCTTTTTTTTTTTTGCCCCTTTTGTTGTGTGTGTGTGTGAGTGTGTGTGACAGGTGACAACATAGACACCAATTCAAAGCACACAATTAGCAAGTTTTCAGTTAATGGCGTGAGGCGAAGTTTGCTAATATCAAACGGCAAGCGTTTTTTTTTTTTTAATAGTGAAGTGGATATGTACTGCCACAATGCTTGTTGACTGGCGCATAAAATTTACACGATTTGCGACAGTTAGGGAACAGTCCGACAAAGATTAAAGATATTTACTGTTGTAAATTAAAGAGTCATAAGAAAATCACGTGCAAAAATTCGTTTTGATCCGCACAATCGTTTCTGAGGTATTTGTTAAAGTTTGAGGGTTCGACTTTGGGAAAGGACTGTAACGGCGCATATGAGAGATATTGTCTTCTACACACACACACACACACACACACACACACACACACACACACACACACACATACACACATACACAGAGAGAGAGAGAGAGAGAAAGGTGGGGGGAGGGAGAGATGGAGGAGACGGGGAGTAGGAGTATGAGAGTGAGATATAAAGACAAGTAAGTTAATAGAGATCAGTGTGTGGAAAATTTGTATGTTTGGATGAAAAAACATAAAAAGCGCATAAGAGGAATAGGAAATATAGAGCGAATGATGTAAAGTTTGTAAATTAAGAAGAAAATTAGTGTGTAAGAGAATGACGTGTGAGTGAGACTTACTGTGGGACTGAGCGTTGAAAAACAGGAGAGATTTTAAAACGATAGAGGCAATGATAATTTATATATTAATGCTATTATCGACAAATGTGACAAGACTAGGCTGAAGGGAAAGTACCTAGCGAGGCCAGGATGGACGCTGACCAGAAGATCTCGCCCGTGAGAGCCGGGATAAAAAGCAGGCAGTTGATAAAGTCCCCAAACTTCCAATGGAAAGGGTCTAACATGGTGGTGAACCCAGTGACTCTCATCTTTTCTGCGAAGAACATCCCACCTGTAACAATTATATATGTCAGGCTGTATAAACGGTTGACTGTGCGAGAGTTCATTGATCCCATGCTTTGTTATAAAACAATCACTTAAAATTTCATAATAATAATAGTAGTAGTTTGTAGTAGTAGTAGTAGTAGTAGTAGTAGTGGTGGTGGTGGTGGTGTTAGTAGCAGTACTGGCAGTAGCAGTAGTGGTATTTTTATTCTGTTCCCGGTCCTATTAGACTTCAGAGTTGTATCGATGGGCAGGCTCTTGACCGCACCGTTGGACTGACTAAAAAGTCCGATGTGAGAGTAGCAGTCCGTCGCAATTTACACATCTGTAAGATATGGAATATTTCACAATGTCAAATAAAGCCAGGACACTATGGTGCTACTTGGAGAATTTGAAATTAAGAATCGATATAACAGCACTCAGGACACTCCCATAAGCTCTCTGTCCCCATCCTCAGTAGCAAGCGACGAGTTTCGTGCGATGGCACCAGTAACTGTTTGATCGTATATCCGTCTCCCCTTTCCCTTGAGTGTTGAACGTCGGCCAGATCTCTTGGTAACTCCCCGCAGCATCATTCTTCTCAGACCACAATGAGCTACGTGTGCCTCCCCACTATTCACTAGCTTTCAAAGGACCCTCACAACATCTAGATTGTCATACATCGTTCACCACCAAATCGTTCAGGTCTGGTCAGTCTGTCTTCCTGCTTATTTCCTAATACACAGGCATAACCTAGAGAAAATATCCAAAGGATGCTTACTACCCGGGACCTCTGAAGTGATACTTGCCACTCTGCACGAAGCATGCCTGTCTCCACCTTTCTCATCATGCTCGCTGTGTCAGTTACAATAATGGGGTGCGTGTACAGCTGATTCCCAAGCCAGCGTGAGGCAGCAGTGACTGCCTCCACCTCCATACTCAAACTAGACGTTGTGATATCATATGCCATACTTTATTGCACTAGGCGACCTTCATTTTCATTCGCCATGAGCCCCCATGGACTTCGTCTGGCTCTCAATACACCGCCATTTGTAAAGATAATAATATCACCTGCGCGGGAATTGTCATAAAGCATTTGTTGAGCTTCTGATTCTGCAGCACCAACTGCACTCACGACCTAAAGTGATAAGAACCCTACACAAGTCGGAAACTTGCTCGGACACTTTGACGCACTCCTCTTCTCCTCAAATTCATCAAACCCGCAAATATGTCTATTTATGTCCTCAGCTTACGCCATTAAAGACCTTCTTCTTTTCAGTCTGTGACCCATACCACTACCCAGGGCTTCATGCAGGATGTTTGTTTTTGTCTGTAGCTACTCTGAGATAATACTGCAGAACTTTTAGCCTTATTGCAATAGTTGGCAGTGCAAGTATATATCGCATACATACTAACGGGGTATCTCTTGTACATCCCAGAATTACTCGCATAGCTTCATTCTGTATGCGTTCAAGTTTCATAAGCGGACTCTTTAATATGGTGAGCATTCCAAGACTACAATTTATCACCAACAGGATTAAATGCTGGAACATTGTGAACAGCGTTCTTTGTTCCATGTCCACTGCTCCCATAATCTTTAGAGGAGTGAGTCTTTTTTGGCATTTCACCGCAACTGCCTCCACGTGATCTCTAAAGGGCAGGCTTCTTTCGAAAGTGTTACCCAGGTACCTCATTTTGCTATCTTTTTTGATGTTACTGTTAATAATTGTAGGGCTTAAAACATAAATTCTTGTCCAGAGAGCACCATAAAACAGCCTTTTTTTCTGAGTTGATAACAGCACCCACTTCAAACACCAGTCAGGCACTTTGTCCACAATTGCCTGTAGCTCTTGAGCTATCCGTTGCCTATCACTCCCCTGCCTATATGCAATAACACCATCTGTACAGGTCAATATCCTTTCAACACCTGGTACTTCAAATTTGTCAGTCTTGCTTATATACACATTGAAGAGCACTGGTGAATTGCAGAACCCTGGGGTAGTCCCGGGGCGATTTTACACGGTTCTGAGGTCCATGTACCCAGGCGAAGGACAACCATACATGAATGCAGGACAGCTGCTATCTAGTTCACAAGCCAGCAACAAACTCCCTTTTCCATTAGCACAGATATCAAAATATCGTATCTGACTCTATTATAGGCATCCTCAGGATTAAGTGCTACCACGAATTATGATATCACTTACAGAAATATAAGAGTTTATGTTGATACTAACTTATGTTCTTACCATACACCGTTGTCCAAACACACATATATATATGTATGCCTACAGGCATTCATGTGTAAATGATATCTACATACATATGCACATGCAGATAAAATAAGTACATTCTTCTGATGACTATAACTTTAACTGTGACCAGATGCAGATAAAACAAGTCTCAAGGAAAAAGGTCTATGTAAACATTTAGCGGTATTCTCAGGCTGACGGTAACGTGGCGAGAGTTTTATGACCATCCCCGTCTTAAAAAACGCACCGTGTCAGAACCATTTTCAATTTAGATAATTCTGGGTGATTATATAGTTATCTCCAGGCCGTGTGTTGCTGTTGCCTACCACAAGGGCTGTGTTGGACCTACCAAAATCCCACAGGTTGAATCCTGAAAGCCAGTGGCTCTAGGTACCCACCCTATTGTAAATAAGCTAGCCATCGACACATCACTGTTTTGGCATTGTCCATATACTATATGGGAAAGAACACTTTCACTGTGAGTTTATTGTTAGCATAGCTGCAGCTCAAACAGGTCAGAAAATCTTCATATCTGTTACCATCTACTTGCATTTTTTTTTTGAAACAAGGCGACATTTCTACCACCACTGATGTAGACTGAGCATTTTCACTAAGTGTAGAGCCTAACAGGTCACAGATATTGTCCAGGACTTTGTTGCATTTGTTAGAACCCAAACATTTCATGCAGTTTTTCGATGAGCTTGAAGGAGCACCCACAAAGTGCCAACACTTGTTTAGCAGAATTATGAGATCGGTCGGCCGGCCAAACAATTTCTGAAGGCCTCAGAGATTTGATTTTACAGAAGAATGCTTAAAATACCTTGGACAGTCAAAAAGAGCTACCAAGAGGTTTTGAAAGAGGCAGGAGCCCGAAGACAACTTATCACAAACATCAGAAGGAGACAGTCATCATTTTTCGGCCATGTTTTGAAAAATGGGAAAAAAAGAACATTTTGTGACCACTGGAAAGATCTGTGGAAGGAGGGATAGAGGAAGACAACGAGAGAAGATTCTTGAGAGTCTTGTTGCATGGCATGGAGGTGTGTCGGCACACGAACTGACACATGCTGCAGAAGATCGTGGATTATAGAGAGGCATGATCGTCCACGCCAGTCGGCAAGGCACCTGATGATGATGATATGAGATCAGATACATACCTCGGTGTTGTCGCACTGATGGGGACGTGCCAAGTATTTTCTGACGTAATCACTGATCATAGTTGATGATACACATAACCTATGACCTAAAACTAGCAGTAACGTAGAAAAAGCTAACGTTTAATCAAAATTACCTCAAGGAAAGCTACGGCATCAAGTCTCCCTAATATTGGCCAAAGGAGAAAAACCAAAATCAAGAAGTTGAAGCTCTGATGCATGTGTAAATACAGGAAGTGAATACTCACTGAGCACAGAAACGTTCGAAAATAGATGTCAAATTATAGCTCGTAAAATTATCCATTATGTCGAAGGTGATAAAATATTGAAACAATGTGACAGCTCACATCAGTTAATACAGAAGAAGATGATTGCTATCACGATGCTGATGAATATAAAGATTATGGTATAAGTCTACAAAAGGCTGAAGCCGTGCTCATAGAATAAGGAGGTAGACAACCACAGACAAATAACAAAAGATCTTACCAAAGATCAAACTTATGCTGTATCCAATTGGAGCTTGACACCACACCAGCCCGTCGTGAGCCACGACTTCCGTAGTCCCATTGATGTACCCACCACCAACCCACGTGGCTGGACAGGAAAAAAAACAACAACACCAGAATAAACAATATAAGTTAAATACTGTATGTAAGTTGTACTCTTCGTCCCCTCAGCCTGCCCTTCATCCCTCCTCCTCAACATGATAATCATCAACACCCAGATAATGACGATTTTCATCAGGTGTCTTGCCAGTTAATATAACTTTTCATTTTGAAAAAAAAAAGAAGAAAAAAAAAAAAAAAAAAATATTTTAGCCATATGAAATGCTAAGCAGTGGTGACAAACCTGGTAAATGATGTTATAACATGCATTTAAACAAAATGTGGCCCTAAAAGAACGTCATATATTTAAATTAATTCACAGAACATGTCTATAATCAGAAAGTCGTCATTTCGCAGTTGGTATCATCGCATTGTGTTGAACATTGTGGTGTACACTGACAAAAATTAGAAAATAAACTTGACAGAACAAAAAACTAAGAAGAGAATGTGGACAAAACTATAGGGGAAATCACTATTTTGAAATCTTTGACAGGTAGCTAGGTTATCAAAAGGGTCCAGAATAAATTTAACAACAACAACAAACCTTTGAACCGGCAAGGATGGTTTATACGAGTGACTTGCCTGCCCGTGTCTAAATAAAACCAGAACAAAGGTTTAACTGTGCACTCAACCTAAACATGCTGTTTGCTGGTCGGAAGCGCACAATACCTGCATGTAGCAGATGATTTGCGCTTAAACTATAAGACATGACGTCAGAACATGTTGTTTGATACAAAATCAATTAACATATTTCAGACTATAAAAGTTTGAACAGGACAATGTGTATGTTTATACAGGAATGTGAAAACTATAGAGGAAATATGTTGCTGTCAGTTCCTGGAAAATTACAAGTATTAAGTTGGATTATATTGGAAAAACTAAAAGATGCTATTGATGAAAAGCTGAGAGATGAACAGGCAGGCTTTCAGCTAAACAGATCCTTTACTGACCAGATCGCCAGATTATGTATAATAATAGAGCAAAGAATTTAATTGATTCACCACTTTAAACTTGATTTATAGACCATGCAAACGCCTTTGACAGCATTGTTCTTCGCCTTTCCTATTTTTACTGGCAATAGATTACATTATTAAGACAGCAACTGCTAACACCAAGAATGGAATTCAGCGAGCGCCTACAAAACAGCTTGATGATCTGGACTTTGCTGATGATATTTCTCTTCTGTCCCACTCACGGAGTCTGATGCAAGATAAATTATGTATGCTTGATGCGAGATCAGTAGTAGTACATTTTACCCCACCAGGACATCACACAAGCGATAAACACCCGATAACACAAATTGCCTACCATGCGGATGAGGATCATCCGTGGAGGGGTCCCGGAAACCGCGTTCAGCCATTAGGCAATATTTATGGGCGAGCTATATAGCCGCACCCTGCCAAGAGCCAGGGTGCGGCTTCAAAATGAACAATTTATCCGACAAGGAGATGACTGTGACAAATGCGAGATCACAGCAGCTGGGTCTGAACATCCATAAGGGAAAGACAATTTGGTAATCCTTCATAATGTTGAGATGGACGTTTAATCTATAATGTTTTACTCAGGCTTAAGTAAGGAATTAATCCAATGAACAATGACTGAAAAGCTTAAGAAAATCGTGAAGCAGAATAACGTGCACAAAACAAGACAAAAAGACGTTTTTATGCCAGGCCGTTCTCGACAAGAACATGTACTATAAGGGTCATAACAAGGCTCGACCCAGGACCGAAACGTCTTTTTGTGTGTTTTGTGCACGTTATTCTGCTTCCCGATTTCGTTAAGCCTTTCAGTCATAGTTCATTGGACTAATTCCTTGGTATTAGCTTACCACTTTCAGGCTTAAGCAAAGTGTTAACAAAATGCCTATTATATATTTTACACAAGCAATAAATGCATTGGTCATATAAAAACGTTTTCTGTTTCCTTAGGGCTGTCGTGAAAGCGAAAACTTGAATATGATTTGACCATGCCAAATGGAGGAGAAGAGAGGCGACAATGTATCAGAAATGATTTACATTACCAGGGGAAAAAAGGCTGTAGATAGGCATGATAACCAACACAACAGGAACGTACTACCAGAAAAAGAACATCAGAGCCACCGACAACAAGCCAGAACAGACAAAACTCACCTGTTGTAGTGAACACTCCAATGAAGACACCCAGCGACCTATTGGCCAGCCAAACATCCTCAGTACTGAGGTTCGTGGCCATGCGAGACTTGCGAGCGGCCCAGATTCCAATCACCAGGATGATTATGTAGAAGACGATGATGGAGACAAGTCCTGGGATATTAATTTCCATGATTCCTCGCTCACGTCTCAAAGGCTAAAAACTCAGTTCTTGTCCAGATAAAAGTCCTGGATTGTTTTAGCAGGAACTAAACCAAAGTTGATCTTACACGGGATTCTAAAATGACACTTTTAGATTGTCACATAAAGTTGATCTGTAACATTATTAATGACAACTAAGTAAATGCTGACTGATTTATAAAATACGAGTCACACTCATTTGCGAGATATACCGCTTGCGTAAAATGGGTCATGTTGTCTGTAACAAGTGTGTAAGAGGTCATGGAAAGGCAGAGTGCACAGACAAATTTATGAGCTTATGACAGAGGTTAGAACAAAGGTAAACTTTACGAAGATCTTCTGAGGTCAGTTAGCCAAGCCTATGTACACACTAGGTCACTTTTGATTGGTGCTTGCCCAGGCTCGTAAACTTTGCTGAAGGCTACGGGGGTGTCCCGGTGTACTGTTTGCTCGAAAAGCTTTATGCGCTGTCTTCCATTTACATTTTTATTCCGAGAGATAGAATGCGTGTGACCTAGGTTAGAGCCTTCTCGTAAAAAGGTTTAGGGGAGTTGGGTCAGGCCCAGTGCTGCATGGTTTTGGAGCGTTAAAAGTACTGTCATGCTGGAATATACATCACCGTTGAGATCGCTTGTGGTATATTCGAGCACGGAGACGGCAGGGAGACGGCAGGGAGACGGACATATCGTCAGACTGTTATTGGCACCATCGGAATTGGAATTATGCGCCTGCTGCTAAAGTTGGGGACAAGGCGCTTATGATAAAATCCTGAGTGTTATAATATCGATTCCAACTTATATCTTGGTTAAGTAATATGGACAGTATTATGTAACTATATCCAACTTATTCACTACGTTCTCATACAGCTAGAACTGTTTTGCCAGTTATGTCTTCTTCTGGTTTTATTTGAAGCTTATGAACTGAGAAACATCACATCGTATAATCAGGCACTTTATAAGCAGGTCATTTAAAGAACATCGCTCTCTTCCGGGCACGCCCTCTGTGCTTTTTCTCTTCAATGTCTTGTATCCACGTTCGCGGTGGTCGGCCTCTGCCTCGTAGTCCAGAAACTGTAGCCTCCATCACAGTTCTCTCCAGACTACCATATGACTGGACATGTCCAAAACATCTCCCTCTATCTCTCTCTCTCTCTATCTCTCTCTGTCTGTCTCTTTCTCTCTTTCTTTCCCACACATACAAAACTATGTTTTCCCAAAGTGACTTTCAACAATGCTGTCTATTACAAGCAAAATATAGCCGTCTTTATTGTCTGACATATTTCACTGTGTATCGTTGTGCATTACTACAGAGTTCCTTTTTCACTTAAGTAACATTTGCTTAGGATGAAATAAATTGAAGTAATGTCCGCTTAAGTTTGAGACAGTACACACAGAGATGCTTTCGTTACAACGATCGGTAAATTAAATTCAGAAACCATGAATTGTAAACTCTTTGGTTCGGTGCGAGCGTTGTGTGCTTTGTAGGGGTGGGTGGGTAAATAGCAGGTAGTGGTAGTGTCACTTTATTAATGAGGTAGACCAGTGGATCAAGCCAACGTTTCAAACGTCTTTAGAGAGTTGGGCTAATACGAGAACTTTGAAAATACGTTCAGATTATGTTTCCTGTTAGGCTTAATAAATGTAAATTGCATGCAAATTTTCAGATTTGTGAATGTTAGTCTGTAATGTCCTCTAAGGAATACGCCAGTAATTTTAACTCAATTTAAATTACTATTTATCTGCTCTCTTAAATGGGAATATACATACCCACGTGTCTATGCTTACATTCTACACATATGACCTACCTATTTACTCACTAACTATCAACTTATGTATTTTTTTAACCAACCAATCAAAGAACAAAGTAGTCAGTGAATAGATATTTTAATGCCTAAATAGCTCATTTTTCTTTTCTTCTGGCTTTTATCAGTTATTGAGCATGGGCTGTCAACCACTCTCAGCCCGTTTTATCCTTTACTACTTACTGTATGCACCTCACCCCTTATTCTTCCCATCACATCTTTTAAACATTGCTCATCCTTTCTGCATGTTTTTTTTTTTTAAAAATTTGCCATTCTTTCTATGTCCCTGTGGGTTTCAGACAGTTTAGTTTTCTCAACAGCCACATGATGATAAACCATACCTGTCCACTAACCTAAATGCCTACCTATCAACATGCCTATCAACATGCCCGCCTATTTAGCAACTTGCATGACAACATACTTGCGTACCTACCAATTTACCTTTATCTATTTTAACAAAGCTACTAAGCTCATCTTGATAAATAGTTTACAATGAAACAGTCTATACCAGACACAGCTGAAAGTAGTATCCAAATACAGGTAAAAGTAAACACACCTATGGGGCAAAAACGACGGTCTACAGGGTTACAACTGGCTGATGCAGGATCCGAGGCCTGACTACCGTCACTGTTCAGTGAATGCTACACTCGTCGAGAGTGTGTGTGTGCTCGCGTGCGTGCGGTCGTGTATATATACATGCATATAGACGAATACCTTTGTCATTTATTGAGTTTATTCGTCGGAACGGAGAGAAATACTTGACAGCCTATGGGAAGTTGAATGGGAAGTTTGTGAGGCTGGATACGGAAAGAGTACAATGTCGGAACATCGTACATGCACAAAGTAAACACACACCAAGACAAACACATATAACAACAACGACGCCGCCCCCTCCACACAAACACTTAAATACCCTATAAATCCTCACATAAATGGCTCGAGTTCCGTTCCAGGTCGCTGCTCTTGTTACATGACACTACTCAAGGAAATTATGGAGTTCATATCCTTTACTTCTCTGTACCTCTCTCTTGAATGAAACCTCTATAGTCTATCCCAAAAGTCGTAACCAACTGTACACGTCTGTTATTGGGTAACCCTTTGCTGTTGCTTGTTGAAATTTGGCATCAAACTTGTCAAGAATCATGTCCATTCACCAAAACATTTTAACAAACATCTAGATTTCTTTATGCTTTATTTGCGGTACATAAAAAAAAAGAGACACAAATTCAGAGCAAACAATCAGCACCCTTACAGTTAATGGAGTAAGGGGAACTTTTCAAAAGAACAAATTGCAAACGTTTCACATGCGAGAATCGTCCACGTCTACGATTCGAAGTTATCTCATAGAGCGGAAGTCCGGCGCATACATGAGTCACACACTGGCTACAGGCCTGCTCGCGATCGAGCAATGCAGGTTGATTGGGAAGTTTAAGGTCTGGTGTCTCCAGTTCATGTTGATTCTAAAGCTCCTCTGGCCATGGCTCGTGTCATGCTCAAGTTAGCATGAGGGTAGTGGAAACGATGGAGCGGAAAATCAACACAGCCCTGAAGAAATGGCTTGTATGACGGATGTGACTCTCTATTGTGAGTAGGCTAAGCTGGTACTTCCGTTAAAGTCAATAAACGAACAGTTTGAAGTTGTCAAGGTAGACTCGCGATGATGCTGCGCAGTCTTAAGATAATACGGTGGCAGCTGTCCAGCCCGCTCTAAAGACAGGTAAGAAATGGAAGGTCCTAGATGCGATAGAATCTGCTGAAGATGCACTGAAATTGAAGCAAGTCATGGGTTACACACACCTGACCGTCGACGCCTAGGGCACGGGAAAGTTAACTGGTGGTCCAAAGCCACGGCCAAAGAGCAGAAAGACAATCTAATGAAGCAGATAAGAGACACAGAAGACGAGAATCGGGTCCAAAAAGCCGCACAACAGTTGCAGCAAGGCCATTGTTTCAGCCTCGAGAGCGCCTTGCCACGAGTACTCAAATGGGGTGAGATCTGGCGAATGGCCCCGCTGCTGCTGAGATTTGTCGTAAGATATGCGTACGAAGTGTTACCCTCTAGCATCAACATGGCGAAGTGGCATGCGGCTACAGACCCGACATGCCCACTGTGCAGAGCTAAGCAGACGCTCGAGCACGTATTGCACGAGTGCAGTAAAGCCATAGGCCAGGGAAGATACACTTGGCGCCACAATGAAGTCGTAAAAGAGTTAGCGGAAATTATGGACCAAGCTAGGATTAGGGCTAACGTGAAGGCCCCTCCTACCCTTACCCCCATTAACTTCCTCAAGGCTGGGCAGATCTACAAAAGTAAAATCAACAAGGTCGCATACGCTTCACCGGTACTTGACTGTGCGAGGGACTGGTTTCTGACTGTCGACCTGCCTGGTTTCGAGAGTTACCCCGAGTTTTTTCCAGAAGACCGGGTTGAGACCCGACATAGTACTACACTCTGGGGAGAAACGCCAGCTCATCCTGATTGAGCTAACCGTGCCGTATGAGTCGCGAATAGACGAAAATCACATGTACAAGCTTGAGAAGTACTATGAGCTCGCGCCCGGTCTAATGAGAGACGACGCGTACTCAATAAAAAAATCTTCGCCGTCGAGGTAGGCGAAAGAGGTCTTATATCCACTTCCATATACAATGTGCTAAAGCAGCTGCGCTTGCCAGGTAACGTAAACGGTCACTTAAAACAACTGGGCGAAGCTGCTGAAAGAGTTTCGAGCTGGCTCTGGACGCAATGGAACGTCGTGGTGGATTGGCCTCAGTAGACTGGTCCGAGTCTTTCTGGCAACGAAGCTTCTTTTTCCTTAACAAGCCAATGTGTTAGTTTGATGTATGCCAGTGTTCCTATGCCAATTGCCAAAGTCTAACATGTGTCCGATGAACCAGCCGTTAGCTTGTCACTTGGTCATTAGGGTAGCCGTCTGGTCTGATTAACTACCGCAGCGACAACATGTATCTAACTTTGAATCTCACAGTGCCCGTTTCTTAGTCGCTATTTCGTCTTGTCCCTGTCCGAGTACATCCTGTATAGTACAGCAGGAGAAGGTCAAGGCCTGGGAGTCATGACCCAGGTTGGCCCACCCTCTGAAATTGTCTAGGAGTTGATGAGACGAAACAATGGTTGACAAAAGATTTTCTACTGATGATCTCTACATCCTTCCCTGTGAAGTTCTTCTTGTTATTACTGGGTGGTCATCTCCAATATTAGTCTGACGTGAATAACATAAACACAATTTTTCCCTGTATGCAGGATATGCCATCAAAATAATCACAACGCTTCACCGTACATGTGAAATAATCTGCAAAAAATCTTCTCTGCGAGGAGTTACCAGGGGATCTAGTCGACGCTCAACACTCAGGGGAAGGATGAGATGGATATATAATCAGATAGTTGCTGGTACCATTGGAATTGTAACTCTTCGCTTGCTGCTGAAGATGGGGACTGAGCACTTTTCGGAGTGTCACGAGTGCTGTAAGGTCGATTTGTAATTCAACATTCAACATTCAATGACTGTATATCTGTATATTATCTTTTTTTTTTTTGGGGGGGGGGGGGGGGGGGGGGTTTAATGCGCTGCGAAAGTTAGTGATAGAGTAACGATCTCGGGAAGAAAAAATTGGTGGGCTTGGGGGGGGGGGGGGGTCGCTTGAGGTCTAAAGATTAGTGACTGAATGACATTTTTGGAAGAGACATGTAGCGAGAGTATGTTCACTTCAGCTGCAACGTTTAGTGGGTTATGTTCACGATTCCCGGCGCATCTACAAACTGTCTGACTTTTCATACATACTTTCTGGGACTCTTCTACGTCGGAGAAGTGTTACGTTGTCTTGCTTCCAATTACATCAGCGCCGATGTTGCGTGTTCTACACTACACGACAACACAGCTTTCAACGACGCTAGAACATCTAGAACTGGCCCTAACCGAACCCCCCTCCCCTAGGTCCAAGGAGAGAGTGTCTTCGAAAAAATCATTACAAAGTGACTACCCTCTGACCTAGATCAGACTGGGAAAGTGCGTAGATGGGGCGGGAAACGTGAACAGGTCCGTCTATTGATTGAGTCACAATCTTAGGGGAAAAAAGAAAGGAAGGATCGCTGCAAAGTTTAATGAATATGGATAATTTAGCAGAAAGAGAGTGTGGTTGGGAGAAAAAGGGGCAGGGGGGGTGGGGGGGGGGAGGAACTGAAGCAGGACAGTTCAATGATTGAGTGACAATCGGAAGAGGGCGGGGGCGAAGAGAATATCCCCTTTTCGGACAGAGACATAACCCTGTCAGATAACACCCTATACAATGAAGTAGATCTTTTCTTTCTTCCTTTATCTTTCGTTGTTTTTTTTTTTTTTTCTCTCCAGTCTTTTGTACAGATACTTCATGTTTCTGTTGTATTCATGAAGCAGCATATAAGATGCTAGAGTTACAGACGCCGACTTAGAACATCAGTAATATTTTTATATATATCAAAATTTAAGGTACATAAAGATAGGACATTGTAGTGATCAGGGCATCTTTATGGCAACTCTTTCCCCAAGGCAGTGCATCGGCGGAAACATACATTTCTACAGGCACCTTTAGAAAGAACCACCTCGTTCTCCATAATGATAACGATTGCATGAAACTTTTTCAAAGCGTATCTCAAGATGCTTCAAACCTCCCATGTTCCTCTTTTGGTCCTCTTCCTCCTTATATTCGTCCTCTTCCGACCTCTGTTCTTCTCCTCCACTATTGTTTGTTGTGTGTGTAGGTATTTGTGTACGTATCTCTCTCTCTCTCTCTCTCTCTCTCTCTCTCTCTCTCTCTCTCTCCCTCTCTCTCTCTCTCGCTCGCATTCTCTCTCTTTCTCTTTGCGTGTGTGTACGTGTGTGTGTCTGCGTGGAATTTATACACAAAAAGGTTAGGAGGGAAAAAACCCCGAGAAACGCATTATCATATTATGTCCATTCACCTCTTATCATTTCCATTTAGCATCTTACGAAATCCAAATACGAGGCAAGCACAATATGCCAGATGTGTGTAATGATGGTATTTCACTTTCACTCTACTAAAACTTACTCAAATAGACCAGTTCTGTATGATCTGAGGCCATAAAAGTGTGAACAGTGGCACGACAGCTTGTCTTCCTAAGGTTAGAAAATCTTAGCTGCTGAATGTATACATTCTTTTGAACATCCGTATGGTCACTTTCGCCAGAGAGAAATAATTTTTGTTTGGTTATTTTACAGCTGCTGGCTGCGGGGGGGTTTTATCATGGTATGGTTGCGAGTCCGACCACGTCGTACAGGTCGACAGGCTGCAGCCTAGAACATGGGTACCCCTAAAAGGATCCAGGCTGTGTCCTGGGAAAGATGAGACGGCCGGCGTAATGCTGACCAAATTCCCCACCTAGTGCCGATGGTCTGAAAAAATATGGGCTCTCTTGCCATATACCCGATGCGTCTAAAGGTGTGACAAGGGATCTTTACTGTCTACTTTTTTTTTTAAATTTTACAGCACCACTCTGGGAACTGCCACCTGAAAGTTTTTTTGACCATTCTGAAATTACACAATTTTAATCTGGATGGCAGACAAACAAAGCAGACACCAGATATCCCATTCAACTGAAGTTATAACTGAGGCACTGGTACGTGTTACACCAGCGAGGTCTTGTGCGGGTAAGGACAGGTGTCGAATGTACAGACTGACTGACTTTCTACCCCACCAGGGCATCACACAAGCGATAAACACCCGATGACACAAAGTGCCACCATGTGGATGAAGGTCGCCGTGGAGAAGTCCAGAAACCGCGTTCAGACAATTGGCCATATTTATGGCCTGCCTATATTGCGGCCCCTGGCAAAAGCCAAGGTGGGGGTTCAAATAACAAAAAATTTCGTCCTAATAAGGACGAAACATATCTAGTATAATGGACAGATTACAAAGGAATAAGCTTAGTAAATCAATCAACTTTATGATCCTTTAGTAAAAAATTTATTAACAGGCAAATGGAAAACCACATTTAAAATGTCCTATAACCGTGTGTTGATATCTCTGCTAACATCACTATCGCCAACTATGTGTTCAGCACTGGAAGAATGTCTCCTCTCAGTTTTACTGGGATCAGTGTATACCTTGGAGATCTTGTCCTTGCCTGCTGTTGGCTGTGTCTTGCATTCACACAGGTGCTGGCAACAAAAGATTTCAGGATTCTAAACTGAATATGTAGGGGACGTAATTCGTATTTGGAACGTGTAAGGATAATTGACAGTTATGTTTCTTGCAAGTGATCTTCTTCTTCTTCTTCTTCTTCTTCTTCTTCTTTTCTTCTTCTTCTATGTACTCCTTTAATATGGTGGCTGGCGCGCTGTGTTGTAGTATACAGCTAGGCTGTGACATCTGAACCTTTTGGCCCAACACATCCGATTTCAGCCAACATCCAATTAATCGAGGCCCTCTTTGCAACGGGGCTCCCCCTCAGCGACTCAGAAGCTGCACGAGAGAAAAGGATCTAATTTGCCAGAACGAGAGAGAACAATATTTAAGTACTGAACCTGAAGCGATGGTGGTGAACAATCCACGCCACCACAAACTTCAGGTATCATAGAAGCCAGATCCACTGGTTACTCCTCGCTGAACCACTCGCTTCAGACCCTGATGGTCTATGTATGAATCCACACTCTTCACTCATTTTTGTGCTTACCCGTCAAGGACTGCAGGTGACACTTTCCGGTGGAACCATTACGGGTGCCATAATTCTAACTTCGTTGGAGGATGAACGGGGTATCTGGGATCTGCCTTGTTGGTCTACCGTGCAGATTAAGAATTTCAAGTGGTATGGTAAACCTTTAGGTAGCAGCCCAGAGGGGACAAGTGGATCAACCGATCGATGACTCACTCCCAGAGGGGACCACATCTACGCCTTAGCGCACTTGATAAGAGACTCGCTTCCAGAGGGAACCACATCAGGCGTTAGCACAGTCGATAGGACTTTCAAATCCAGCTGCGACAGCTGCAGCCACGGCCGGTGTTCGAAACCAGGCGGTTCACGGGGTTCACGCAGCCTCTAGGAAATGGGGACCAGAGTTAACATGCTAGGGTAATTTGAGGAACGTCGCTGTAGCTACAGAGTTTCATGCGGACAGCGACATAGGCGGACAATTTCTTATAAGCTGTCTGTACTGGTGACAGAGCACTTACGATTTATAACCGTGTATGATAGCGCTGGTTCACTTTTTTTCTTTCTTTTTATTTTTAAGGTATCAGTTTACTTCCAAGCGGTGAAGAAAACAACAACAACAACAACAACAATAACAGCAACAACAACAGTCAATATAGCTATAGGTTCGTTTCCTAACACACTGTCATGACTTGAGAAATACCCCAAAGCAAGCTAACTGTTAAAAAAAAATATGCTTATGTCTCTTTTGTCGTCCACCTTGTAACCCTGTGTCGTGGTTTTCTGTATGTCTTGTGCCCCTCATGTGGACTGAGTAATAGCTACGTTTATCCGTGTGTAGGTTTCAGCTACGCTGTCCAACCATCTCTTTCGTTTTCTTCCTATCGCTGTAGATAGCAGATGTTCTGCTGTTGAAGGTTTCATGCATCGTCTTAGTTTTACTGCATTCTTACTGGCTGGTCAAACGACTTCATTCTCTGTCTTCCAATTTTATACAGGCATGGTCTTGTTACAACTTTCTCTCGCATGCCTGCTACTCTAAACACGACAAACAAAACCACAGCCTACAAACAACTTACTCACACACACACACATACACACTAATAACAATTTGACAGCTTCATATGTTGACACGCCATTAAATATTTGCAATTAAACATGCATTCCCCAAACCGTGTTGATCAATAATAGGCAGCTTACCTGGAAGCAGCCATATTTATCCAAGGAGAGCGGGAGTAGCCGCATCATAAACGAGACGGTTATCAGTGTTACCATGGAGATAAGCATAGACAGAGTCCTGTAGGGAAATAGCTGAGTGTTGCTCTCCTCGTCGTACCTTCGTGCAATTGAAGAAGATGGTAAATCGTCATGTTTGGAATACCACAAATTAATTTGGTGCCCGTTTGCAACAAAAGTAACGTATCGTAAACATCGCCTGTCGTTACATATCTATTCTCTGTTGATATATAAAACTTGTTGACAACATAATCTAATGTATGTGGCCATATAACCACAACCAAAATCTGCAAAACAATTAATTAATAATAGCAGACACATACTTTTTTAATGTAGGCAAATAACTATTAATTCTTGGTGTAGAACCATAAACTGTAGAAATGTAATGGTTAAATTTGGCATTTAACGATACCCTGTAGACATATAACATTTACTGCAGACAATTAATAAATGATTGTAAGTATACAGTCGTTATCTGTTGACATTTAACAACTAACTGTGGAAAAGTTACCAACAGCTGTAGACAAATAACCAATAAATTAGACACTTAACCATTGTCTTTTGAAATTAAAATTAATTAGTGGCAAACATTAATGTCAGACAAATAAATACTAACTAAAGATGTATGAACAGTATTTGTAAATATGTACTAGGTATCTATAGGCATTTTACGGCTAACGGTAGAACAATGACCATTAAGCCTAAACAAAATCATTTTCCAAATTAGTCGATGAATCAACTGATCGCCCCAAGTGCATTGAGGATGAACGGTTGATTAACTAGCTAGTATTGAAGGCAATCATCAATCAATGGACCACGCAGTTGTGTCTCTGGTTTTGGGAACAGCGTTTACTAAGACTGTAAATTCAAATGTGGAAGTGGCACTCTCTTTTACATAGTCCATATAGAAACGTTGAAACACTATCGTGCTAAAGCTGGTTTTTCTCACAGACGTCTCCTCTCCATAGCTTGCTGCGTTTGGCCTCTGTCAAACAATTTACTAACCACAGTATGATTAAACATCTACAGGTAATAGTACATAAACGCTTGGATCCCATCTTAATTATCTCCCTCAGCGTGTGGCGACTGATAACACCAGTTCTTTCTGGTTTACTATTTGGCTCCCTGCAACATTCTCAATCTCTCGGTTGTCGATTTTGAAAGGTGGAGTATGCTTCAGTCATTGCTGACATCGTTTTCGTGGATTTCCTTTTTTAAGATTTAGAAATAGATTCTCTTCTTCATTGTGCTTTTTGACAGTCAAAATTAAATTTCCTTAACCTTGCACATGCTGGAAAGTAGAACTATATATATATACGATGGCAGAAGTCATACAACTATTCCTTACAGGCCCATAACCATTAACTGTAGACCCACAACTATGACCTCACCATGGATATTTGATGGCAGCAGGAATGCCCAGAGAAGCATCACCGCCCAGCAGACGAAACAACAAGCCCAAGACAAACGCCGCGAAAGATCCGTACGAGTTGGTGTCCCGGATGTACATGACACAGACCAGCTGAGGGAAGAGGATCACGTACACGAAGTCGCTACAGAGAATCCACAACCGGTAGATGGAGCTGACGCTGATGGCCATGTAACAGGCCAGTACTGTGATGACCACCTGGGCAAGCCTCATGACCCACACTTGGGCTGTCTCGGACACCTGTTGGTGGAGACAATACACAGGTCCCATCGCTTACTATTATTACTGTAAAGAGTAACGGATAACGATCTAAGTGTTTTAATTCCTAAAGAATAAATGTATGCATGAAAGACTGCATTAATAAATGAATGAATTAACATCACTGCACTAAGACATACACACACGTGGTCTGTCTCCTTTACGAAAAGTCGACATAGTAATATCACCAGCTGGTTGCACGCTAATTAAAATTGCCCCTAGTGTTATCATCTCAGTGTTGAATATCTTCCTGACAAAAATTTTATTGAAGAATAGGTAAGGCATTCCCTTCCCTCTCTAAGAGAGACTTTCTCTATCTTTGCATTCATATTTCCGTCTACAGACAACAACTGTGTTCCAGGTGCCTATCATATGTCACGTCTGTATGCTGTATATTGTTGCCGTGTGACGATTACGGCATCTTTAAGATGATGAAGGTCCCGCAGCAAGTGATTCCATTTCATACGTGTGCCTCTTCTCCCCAGTTTATTGAATCAGATTGCACTTAAAGAGCGCAGTTTCGCATAACTCTTAACAGACTTAACTCAAAGTGCGCACTTTCGCACATCTCTGAACAGACAGACTGCACTCAAAAAGCACAGTCTCGCACATCTCTGAACAGACAGATTGCACTCAAAGAACACAGTTTCGCACATCTCTGAACAAACAGACTGCACTCACGGTTTCGCACATCTCTGAACAGACAAACTGCACTCAAACAGAACAGGTTAACACATCTCTGAACAGGCAGACTGCACTTACAGTTTCGCCTATCTCTGAATAGACAGACTGCACTCACGGTTTATGCACATATCTGAACAGACAGACTGCACTTAAAGAGGACATTTTCGCACATCTCTGAACAGACAGACTGCACTCACGGTTTATGCACATATCTGAACAGACAGACTACACTCAAAAAGCACAGTTTCGCACCTGTGAACAGAATATACCCATAGAAATGAACGTAGAGACACAGCACTTGATTTTCTGTTCTCAGGCCTTGATCGATGCACGCGAAAACTGTATGACTGACAACAAGCACGTTTGGATATCGAAACTCAATGAACGCTTTACATTTGCTGTAATTAGCTACACGGTGATATCTCTCTCTCTCTCTCTCTCTCTCTCTCTCTCTCTCTCTCTCTCTCTCTCTCTCCATCTCTCTCTTTATGTCTACGCCGATTTATGCATGTATTGGCTGAGCTGTTAATAATTATTATTAGTCATCGCTAGTGTATTACTATTGTTAGAACCTAGAAAATGTGAATGCAATCCCTAGTGGCTTGCAGATTACATTTTTCAAGCAATGTTACCCTACCACAAAGTATACATCTCTTTCTAAAACCGTCCCTTGGGTGCACCTTTCTACGGCAGGCCTTTATTACAGCCAACTTTCTGTCACAGCAGGGACTGTGTCTGATCTGACTGAGCCATTTGAATATACTGTCCCCGTCTTGGAGCCAGTCATGCCAACCTTGTGTGCATAGGGAATTCCCTGTGTCAGTGTCTTACATATTTGAGGTCCTTCGGCTTGATTCTTCCCTTGTCTCACTCTCTCCCTCTCCCGATATATACACTTATATAAATATTTAGTCATGTGTGCTGCACCAGCAAGCAAGCGGGTGGCAGGTAATGAGGGTATGTGTGTGTGTGTGTTAACTACTACGCGTTTGAGTATGCGTGCTGAATTTTAGTAATACAGTGAGATAGTATTTTGGCTACGGGACACCAGTAGCACACATATATCTTCGTGTAGGGAGTCGGCAGTCCGAAACCTAAGTGCAAGGTGTCTCCTTTGTGCCAAAGAACTGCATGGCTGTTGGGTGAACAGTCGTTAACGAAGGCAGTCAGGTCGTTGTTGGGGCGACGCTTGCTGGTGGATGTAAAGTCCTAAACCCCTTCCCCAGCTAATAGTAGGGTACTGCTGGGGTGACAGTTTATTAACCCTTACATAATGCTTCAGGTCCAAATGAACACTAGGCACTGCCACTGTTTTGAGCCGAGGCAACAATTTTTAGCTTCTACCAGACTGTGGCCGTTGTTTTTTTTTGCTCCATTTGTAGACTGGAAGTATAAAGTTTCGTTTTCCAGCTTCTGAGTTGAGTGCATGGCGTGACACTGTGAGCTGCGGATTTCATTTCGAATGTTTTTCGACTGACCAACGTGGTGGTGTGATTTGTAGATTCAGAAAATGGCGCGATGCCGGTTGTCGCAATATTGGTGGGGCCATTATTTGATTAAAATTGATCGCGTGTGCAACTGCTGATCTTTTGGTGACTTCTGCCACCATCAATGATGAACTGCATTTCTAACATCAGACTGTTTGTGTTAGCACTTCGGATGGCTACCATATGCTTTTAATGCGAGTGTATGCTAGATTTGCTGAGACAGCAGTTTGTCAGTCTTTCCACAAGGGACTGTGATAAACATTCTGTGTGTTTTTCGTTGGCACGGGAGCGGAGCAAAGATGGAGTGACCCGTTTGCTATGAAGCTGAAATTATAATTACCAAATTACCAGATTACCAGAATATACCCCATGACATCAGAATGTAACCTGTGACTTGAACGTCACTAACTAAAGTGAAGGACCATTTTTCATGCCGTCAAGGGTATTCGAAATAGAGGGATTTTCCGATTTTTGATAGACCAATCGGCATTTAGTAGATGATTTGATCAGTATCACGTTGACCGTCTTTACTTCTCAGGACTTCTACTTGGTACCCATCCAAGGCTTCATCGGCCATGAAGCCAGGTTTTTTTTTTCCCACACACACACCACATTTTTTTTTTAATTTTGAAGACGCTATACCCGGCTACCCCCAACTTCCCTTACTGCAGCTCTTGTATTTGATCAATGTCAATACATGTTACCTTTGAACTTCCGACCAGTTTGGATACTTTACCTTGACTTTATGTATCCTGGCATACATGACCCCAAAGACGTTTCTGGCAAACATGCTGCTTGAAGACAACACAGAGGAGTCTGTAGAGGACATCACGGCTGCAGAGACCGCTCCCAGCCCTATAAAAGTGACCGCAGGTGGACACAGGTAGCGCATCACCAATGGGAGAATCAGAGTCGTGTCGTTAGCTGAAATCTTTGAGTGACCATAGTCTGTGTTATTCCAGTCTGTTTGGAAGAAAACTGTAGCCCTCATGTCTTCAGTTGATAAATAGTGCGATGACAATCTAGTGACCGAGTGAATAGTGAGGATTATAATAAAACCACCCCAGACATATCCTAACGTTAAATGGTCAAAATGGACGCTAGGCACGGTCACCGTTGTTTGTCATGTCCAATGTTTGGCTTCTGAAAGACAATGGCCGTTGCATTTTTCTTCATTTGTAGCCTGAAAAAAAAAATGGTTTTGTCGCCCTGCTACAAAGTTAAGTGCATGAATCGAATCTGTGAGCTGCGGATTTCATTTCTAATGTTTTTTAACTATAACAATGTCGTGTGAACACTTAAATGAAAAAAAAAAAAAAAAAAAAAAAAATTGCGCGTGGCGTGTAGCAGTGTAACTGCTCATCCGTTTGCAAATGCACTTGCATCGATGACGAACGGCATTTCTAATGTCAGACTGTTTGTGTTAGCATATCTGATGGCTGTCTTATGCTTCTTATGTGCGTTTATGCAAGTGGATATGTGTAGTTCTCCCCATTAATTCATGCCGATAGATGACGTCAGTAAGAAATGTAAGACGAATGTTTTGACTGACTGAGATAACACGAGATTTATGTCTTGAGTTTCATGAGAGACATCTGAAAGTCAGGTTTTTTGCGAAACATGATTGTCCACGTGAACCATGAAGGTTGACTGGCAGGATTCGTGTGAAATGCGAATTATCACGGGCCAGACACGACTTTCAACAGTGGGGAATTCGTGAGAATGAATCCAGAATATTCGAGAACAGGACAGATCAGAGGGCTATATAATAGCGAAGAAAAGGTTTGTGAGGCAGTCTCGTTTGGACCCAGGAACAGTGTGCATGGACAGTGGCGGATGATGTGTGGATTCAGCAGATGTTTTTGAGTGAATTTTTTCCAGTCCAACTTGGCGAAAAAAGCTGGCCAGTAATATGTCGACAGGTCGTCTGAGTTTGTCTGTCAGGACAGCTGTTGTGTTTCGTTCACGATGTTAGTGTAGGACGATTGTGATTTCTGCTTTAAGGTAATATTTGATACTTGCATTATAATGTGTGCCTGGACAGTTGTCTAGTTCATGTGCCGGCTGTGTAAGCCGCGAGTGGAAGATTAAAGTGTTGGAACATTATCGTGTTGGGTTTCCAGTCGGCCATTTTATGCTCGTCGTATGATGTCGGTTTTGTGAGTCGGCAGCGAGCGTGCGATGATGCGAGCCAGTAGAAGATAAAAGAAGGTCATCGCAATATGCTGAAACTGCAGTCTATGTGAATTTGTCCGCAAGTGACAGTGATGGAAATTCTGTGTTTTTCGTTGACACGGGAGCGGAACAGCTATGGGGTGAACCGTTTGCCATGAAGCTGAAACTAAGATTGTAAGATTACAAAAGATTTATGGTAGGGCTGTACTGAATATTCCTTTCGTATTCGCTTCGGGTGCCGAATAGTGGACGTAATAACTATTCGGTATTCGGCCGAATACTGGCGGTCGTGCCGAATACGAAAAGTGGTTACCTTACACCCGTTTCTGCACACACTGCAATGGACTGAAATAACTCTTTTATTAACACAATAGTTGCTGTTGCCTAAGTCTGTCGTAGCGGGGGAAACTGCGACCTGGTTGCGTGGTACAGCAGCTGACAAGGCCCTTGCCTGCTGACTCGACATTACAGCAGAGGTTCTCTAACTGAATGCGAATGCCAGGCGTGCCGCGGCGAAAATCAAGAAAAGTCGGCTATAAATTGTGACATTATTAAAGAAGGCATGGAGATACTTAAAAGTTAAATTTTAATTTGTCTTTCCTCACCACTGTCGATAAGAGTTTTTTTTTTCTCCCTTGTTTCACACTAAAAGTGTATCATAAAGTGCCAACCGCAGCGTGCTAAAGATTGTCTTTGTATTTATTTCGAGCTGCGACTGATCCTCCATCTGTATTCGTGAAGGAGCAACAGATAAGTAAGTTTGTGATTACATTTTGGTTGACATTTTCAAGTGGAAAATTCGGTCTGTACAGTAGTAACTGTTAGCCTCGTCAAGTAAGCACTTATTTTTAAAGGCAAAGCGTTGTGAGTCCTGGACAATCGGTAGTCTGGCCAAACATTTTCTCAGAGATATGGTTTTACAGAAGAATGCTTAAAATACCTTGGAGAGCAAAAAAAAAAAAAAAAAAAGCAACCAAGAGATTTTGAAAGAGGCGGAAGCATGAAAACAACTTATCACAGACATTAGAAGAAGACAGTCATCATTTTTTCGGCCACGTTATGAGAAGAGGGAAAATGGAACAGGGAAAGGGGGACAGAGGAAGACAACGAGAGAAGATTTTTGACAGTCTTGTTGCAATTGCATGGAGGTGTCAGCACACGAACTAGTAAATGCTGCAGGAAATCGCAGATTGTGGCGAGGCATAATCGCCAACGCCAGTCGGCAAGGCACCTGATGATGATGATACACTATTCGTATTCGGCCTAGTTGGTCCCGCTATTCGTATTCGGCCGAATAGTGAATATCACTATTAGGTACAGCCCTAATTCATCGGTCCTCTGATCTCTTGAAGTTATTACCATTTTATTTTGCATATAATGGATAATGGGGCGCCGTGTGGTACGAGAGCGAGTGAGAGAGAGAGAGAGAGAGAGAGAGAGAGAGAGAGAGAGAGAGAGAGAGAGAGACAGAGAGAGACAGAGAGACAGATAGACAGAGAGACAAAGAGAATGTGTGAAAGAGAGAGTGAAAAAAAAAACGTATATCAATAAGTATGCCGATAAAATAACATAACATATATACATACAACAGTAGGCTCACCCGTAGAAGCGGCGACTGCACCCATCAAGACCGAGGGGATGGCCATGAGGATACAGCCGACAGATCCCATGTAGCTCAACCATCGAGCCACTTGTGACGACTTTGCTGCCAGCGCCCTTTGCCAGTAAACCTGAGCGATAACGATATATCGTCAATATGTATCTGTCTTTTTTAATTTGCTAATTTATTATTCTTTAATTACTTAATCATATTCCAGTGGCCCTGACACATACAAAGAAAATATGTCTATAGGGCGGTGTGGCTTACGCTACATAGACATTGCTTAAGTGCGCAATAATAATAGTACCCAAAAAATTATTAATATTTCTATTTGCAAATAAATATAAAAGAATACTCTTGCAAAACAGAGCAAACACTTTCAAAAAGCGTTTTGTCTCAAAACAGCTCATTCAGATAAAATGTAATTTTCACGTTTTTCTACATTCAAGTCGGTAAAGACGTGGACAGCACTCACTTTTCATTTGGCTGCAGGAATATGTTGGCACTTTTAAATTCCGTGAAATAGGTTTTTAATAATTTCTGAAATGATATAGGCTAAAATATTTTGTTTTTCACTTTTTGCACCAAATTCGCTGTCTTTAGATCTGAAAACTACAATCATACCACCAGGAAGCGTCTCACAGAATCAGATAGAAATCAGACCATCGGTGATCTTTAACCTGGTTCAGGAATTTTAACTTTTGCGCAGACATTTTATTTTTCCCGATTAACAGTTTATCGATTGTAACTCTGGGCAAACTGGCATCATCAGATACCTTCCAAGAACAGAAATACAACTGATGAGCCATGCAAATGCAGGACCCATGTATTGGCACACATCTACTGAACAGTTTACAGTGTGTTCAAAGCACAACGGGCAGCAAAAAAAAAAAAAAAAGTAATTAACAGACATGTTTCTCTGAATACAATTTAACACCTTTTATGGGAGAGAAAAACAACATGCGTCTATGTCGGTCTGTTCGACTTCGACACCGTTGACTTCATTCACACCTCATCCAGAACAGACTTTGGTGCACACGTGTGCACTTCAGGTCCGAGGAAACGGGTGATGCGGGAAAGTTACCAGGTGATCTGGCCGACGCTGAACACTCAAGGGAAAATATATATCATTTACAAAAAAAGTTTGCTTCAAACTAGCTCTCATTTACTTTGATGCTGCATTTTAGAGGACATCTATGTAGGAACTAGGATTTGTAGGATTTTTGTTACAACATTTTCGTGTAGCATTTATTTCAGTGTCGGTGATCAGAGCAGTATCGTCAGTGTATCGCAGGTTGTTTACTGATTTTTTTTTGTAAGAATCGATACCATAGCACACCAGGCATAGCTTTATAAATGCTCAGTCTCTCGTCTGCAAATGATTTTAAGTGTAGATGAAAGGGAGCTATGATGACTGTACTCTGAGGCACACACCTGTGAATATTTGCAGTGTTCTAAAACAGTAGTACCCTCCTTCTTCTCCGTTATGTAACTTGAACAGATGTAATCTATTTAATGACAGTACACATGCTTGTCTAACATTTGGCTGATTTGTTGGGAAATTATGAAAAGCTGGATGTTGTGAGGACCTTTGGGAGCGAGTGAACAGTGCGGAAATAGATCATTACGGTCTGAGGAGAATGGCGCTGCAGGGACTTACCAGAGTCTCTGCCTGACGCTCAGCACACAAGGAAAAGGCGAGACGATGTGCAGGCGGACAGTTACTGGTACCAGCGAGACTGGAATTCTTCAATTGCTATTAAAGATGGGACGGAACGCTTATGAGAGTTTTCCGAGTACTGTGATGTCGATTCTTAATTCAATATTTTGGAAAGTCTTTATAGTTTCGTAGAATATTGTTTTCGATAAACTAACTATGGGGCAGCAAGTGACGTCAGCAATGAAGGCTTACCTGCCAGGGGATACCACCGCATATCAATAACAGTCCAAAGTCAATATAGTTGGCTATGTAACGTGTGTTTAGCTCCCCTAGCCAGACTGACGAAGTAGATGTGATCGGCTTGACTGCATCGTGTGTCATGGAAAACGGAATACATAACCACTGCAGAAAAATATATTAACGGATGGGTCAGTGTCAACTGTGGCGATAATGATGACTTTAAAAACGTATGAGATACTAAACATTGTCGTTAGAACTGAAAATTACTTTAAAAAGCTCAAATTTAAATAATGCGGACACAAACAATACATTGAACAATTTTATTGCCAGGCATATTTCGCTGTATCTCGTCAGGTGCGTTACTACAGAGTTAAATAAACATAAAATGAAGCACAAAACTGAATAAATCCAACTGAAATGCGAATAGTTTCTTTCGATGCTTTTCGTGACTTACCAGGGTAACTTCAAATTTACTACAAAATCCGTCTGCTTACATAGGAAGTGTTTGCTGATTTTAATTGTTAAAGCTTCGGCTTTTCTCAGCAGTCGCCTGTCGTAATAAACCAGACGGAAAGCAGTGATTTAACTCTGTAGTAACGCACCTGATGAGGCACAGCAAAATATGCCTGGCAATATAATGTGGAATGCATTGTTTGTGTCCGAATTTTTTAGATTCATTTCGGGAAAACATTGTTTTAAAATGCTAAAATGTTGTAGCTAACGGTAAATCAATAAGTGGTTCCACGTCCTTTTAAGGATGCAATTTTTTGTTATTTGAAGCCCCACCCTGGCTTTTGCAATATAGGCAGGCCATAAATATGGCTAATTGTCTGAACGCGGTTTCTGGGACCTCTCCACGGCGATTCTCATCCACATGGTGGCACTTTGTGTCATCGGGTGTTTATCGCTTGTGTGATGTCCTGGTGGGGTAGAGAGTCAGTCAGTCAGTCAAATGTTGTAGCTACAGTTCTGTTTAAAACAATATATATATATATATATATATATATATATATATATATATATATATATATATATATATATATATATATATATATATATGTTCGTCTTTCTCCTTCACTTGTCTTTTTCTTCTTCTCCCCCTCCTCCTCGCTCCGCTGCTCCTTTTCTGCAGACAATAATGGTAGAACAACTTGCAGCTGCTAGTATCTCCGATATATCTCCCATATGCTCTAATCAGTGTGAGCTGGTAACAGAACCTATGAACATACTTCTGTATAGTTCAAGAATACCCTGATGTCGAATTTGTGGAATCTTTTTTTAACAAGTGATGGATGTTTTTTTCGCGTGAATTCCGAGGCTGAAATATTGAGGTAGTGGGGGGGGGGGTGACGAGGGGAGGGGGGGGGTGACGAGGGGAGGGGGTGACGAGGGGAGGGGGGGTGACGAGGGGAGGGGGTGACAAGGGGAGGGGGATAAGTCATATCCCTCCTAAAAAACCATGTCGTGGAAGGCGACCAATTAAGGGTTAGCTGAAATGAGATGTCGCCGATAGGCGCAGATTTCACTGCCTAGCTGTAAACTACAATAACCTTAATAATCGCCCCTTCAAAGCGATCGTAGAAGCAGATTAACTTCGCCTGCATGCATCTAATTTAAAGACGTGGTATTTGTTTGCAGGACAAACCATTTACCAGTCCAATGAACATACAGATCAGCTGAATGACGTCAGTATAGGCCACCGAGTAGAGGCCGCCCAGGAGCGTGTACACACAAGCGATGGCTGCAGAAACAATGATGGCCAGCTCCAAGTTCATGTCCAGGATCACTTTCAGAGACGCCCCTGAGATTTATTCAAAAAGCATTAGTTAGTTTATACCAGCGTTTTTTGAAAGCGTTGGTATCTACTGCCAACACAATAGGATCATCATCATCATCATCATCCTCATCATAAAGTGCCTTGTCGACTGAAAAGAGTGGGCGATCATGCCTCTCCACAATAAGCGATCTGCAACTGCGCGTATCGGTTCGTGTGCTGACACCTCACAATGCCATGATAAAAGGCTATCAAGAATCTTCTCGCGTTGTCCTTCTCTGTTTGTCTATCCCCAGATATTCCCAGTGGTCACTGCGAGTTTCAGTTTCCTTCCTCTGAAAATAAGACATCCCCCCTCCTCCCCCCCTGCCCTTTCATGTTATTTTTCTCTGTGATACATTTTCCATCGGATGTTATCCATGAGCCTAGATATTTAAATTTCTGTACTTGTATAAAATAACGCCCTTAACTTTTATTATACATTGAGGCACTATTATTTTCTTGGAAGCGGCGTTCCCGTGTGGGATGCAATTTTTAGTTATTCTGTAGCTCCACTCTGGCTTTTGACAGGGGGCTAAAATATAGCCAGACCTTAAATATGGCCTAACGTCGAACGGAGTTTCCGGGACTCTCCACGGGTGATCCTCATCAGCATAGTGGTACTTTGTGTCACCTGATGTTTATCGCTTGTGTGATGTCCCGATAGGGTACAACTTACCTACCTACCTACCTTACTCTTAGAAATCATCATTACTTCTGCAGTCCCATTTTTTAAACTGAGGCACATTTTGTCACTTTCTACCACGACCGTATCTATAAACAGTTTCCGTAGTTCTCTCTGACTTGTCGCTATCTTGACGGTGTCATCAGCATAAAGTGGGTTTTTTCATATTATGTCCATAAACCACAATTCTTGGCATATTCTTGATAGATTTAATTATATATTCACTGTATAATGAAAACAAATCAGGTCATAGTAAACATCCTTGTCATACTCTCCTCTTTATGCGCTGAAACGTGTCTAAATGGTTACCAATGATAATAGCTGCTGTTTTGTTGTCAGTACATGTTCTTTATCATTCGTATACCTTTTCCATTAATGTTTACTTTTTCCAGTAGTTTGATTATTAATTCATGTTTCAGACAATAAAATGATTTCCATTGTCAATGAAGCATAAGTAAAGATCGTTTTTCACTTGTATAGCAATTTCCGAAAGATTCCCGAAGATGTATATGGCATTGTTTGTACTCTTACCTTCTATATATTCCACAATTTTCTTCAATAATTTTCTAGCTGAATCTTGTTTCTTATTCTTCTCATAATTATTCTCAGTAACTTTTTTGTCACATGACTCATAAGACTTATGGTGCAATAGTCTCCCCATTTGGAAGTGCCCGGTTTCTTTGGCAGAGCAAAAAAAAAAAAAAAAAAATTTAACAGATCATAAGGAATGTCACACTAAGAGTGCAACATAATGCATCAGATACGGCTCACTAAAAACAGGAGAAATGTCCTACTTGAAGCTTGATAGATGTTCTCCTATCTCTATATAAGCAGCAAGATGTCCTACCTAGAGTAGCAGCATTCCCTACCTAAAGTAGCAGCATTCCCTACCTAAAGTAGCAGTATTCCCTACCTAAAGTAGCAGCATTCCCTACCTAGAGTAGCAGCATTCCCTACCTAGAGTAGCAGCATTCCCTACCTAGAGTAGCAGCATTTCCTACCTAGGGTAGCAGCATTCCCTACCTAGAGTAGCAGCATTCCCTACCTAGAGTAGCAGCATTCCCTACCTAGAGTACCAGCACTCCCTACCTAAAGTAGCAGCATTCCCTACCTAGAGTAGCAGCATTTCCTACCTAGAGTAGCAGCATTCCCTACCTAGAGTAGCAGCATTCCCTACCTAAAGTAGCATCATTTCCTACCTAGAGTACCAGCACTCCCTACCTAGAGTAGCAGCATTCCCTACCTAGAGGTAGCAGCATTCCCTACCTAAAGTAGCATCATTCCCTACCTAAAGTAGCAGCATTCCCTACCTAAAGTAGCAGCATTCCCTACCTAAAGTAGAAGCATTCCCTACCTAAAGTAGCAGCATTCCCTACCTAGAGTAGCAGCATTCCCTACCTAGAGTAGCAGCATTCCCTACCTAAAGTAGCAGCATTCCCTACCTAGAGTAGCAGCATTCCCTACCTAGAGTAGAAGCATTCCCTACCTAGAGTAGCAGCATTCCCTACCTAGAGTAGTAGCATTCCCTACCTAGAGTAGCAGCATTCCCTACCTAGAGTAGCAGCATTCCCTACCTAGAGTAGCAGCATTCCCTACCTAGAGTAGCAGCATTTTCAACCTAGAGTAGCAGCATTCCCTACCTAGAGTAGCAGCATTCCCTACCTATAGTAGCAGCATTCCCTACCTAAAGTAGCAGCATTCCCTACCTAAAGTAGCAGCATTCCCTACCTAAAGTAGCAGCATTCCCTACCTAGAGTAGCAGCATTCCCTACCTAAAGTAGCAGCATTCCCTACCTAGAGTAGCAGCATTCCCTACCTAGAGTAGCAGCATTCCCTACCTAAAGTAGCAGCATTCCCTACCTAGAGTAGCAGCATTCCCTACCTAGAGTAGCAGCATTCCCTACCTAGAGTAGCAGCATTCCCTACCTAGAGTAGCAGCATTCCCTACCTAGAGTAGCAGCATTCCCTACCTAGAGTAGCAGCATTCCCTACCTAGAGTAGCAGCATTCCCTACCTAGAGTAGCAGCATTCCCTACCTAGAGTAGCAGCATTCCCTACCTAAAGTAGCAGCATTCCCTACCTAAAGTAGCAGCATTCCCTACCTAGAGTAGCAGCATTCCCTACCTAGAGTAGCAGCATTCCCTACCTAAAGTAGCAGCATTCCCTACCTAAGTAGCAGCATTCCCTACCTAAAGTAGCAGCATTCCCTACCTAGAGTAGCAGCATTCCCTACCTAGAGTAGCAGCATTCCCTACCTAAAGTAGCAGCATTCCCTACCTAGAGTAGCAGCATTCCCTACCTAGAGTAGCAGCATTCCCTACCTAGAGTAGCAGCATTCCCTACCTAAAGTAGCAGCATTCCCTACCTAAAGTAGCAGCATTCCTACCTAGAGTAGCAGCATTCCTACCTAGAGTAGCAGCATTCCCTACCTAGAGTAGCAGCATTCCCTACCTACAGTAGCAGCATTCCCTACCTAAAGTAGCAGCATTCCCTACCTAAAGTAGCAGCATTCCCTACCTAAAGTAGCAGCATTCCCTACCTAAAGTAGCAGCATTCCCTACCTAAAGTAGCAGCATTCCCTACCTAGAGTAGCAGCATTCCCTACCTAAAGTAGCAGCATTCCCTACCTAGAGTAGCAGCATTCCCTACCTAAAGTAGCAGCATTCCCTACCTAGAGTAGCAGCATTCCCTACCTAAAGTAGCAGCATTCCCTACCTAGAGTAGCAGCATTCCCTACCTAAAGTAGCAGCATTCCCTACCTAGAGTAGCAGCATTCCCTACCTAAAGTAGCAGCATTCCCTACCTAGAGTAGCAGCATTCCCTACCTAAAGTAGCAGCATTTCCCTACCTAGAGTAGCAGCATTCCCTACCTAGAGTAGCAGCATTTCCTACCTAGAGTAGCAGCATTCCCTACCTAGAGTAGCAGCATTCCCTACCTAAAGTAGCAGCATTCCCTACCTAAAGTAGCAGCATTCCCTACCTAAAGTAGCAGCATTCCCTACCTAAAGTAGCAGCATTCCCTACCTAGAGTAGCAGCATTCCCTACCTAGAGTAGCAGCATCCCTACCTAGAGTAGCAGCATTCCCTACCTAAAGTAGCAGCATTCCCTACCTAAAGTAGCAGCATTCCCTACCTAAAGTAGCAGCATTCCCTACCTAAAGTAGCAGCATTCCCTACCTAGAGTAGCAGCATTCCCTACCTAGAGTAGCAGCATTCCCTACCTAAAGTAGCAGCATTCCCTACCTAGAGTAGCAGCATTCCCTACCTAAAGTAGCAGCATTCCCTACCTAAAGTAGCAGCATTCCCTACCTAAAGTAGCAGCATTCCTACCTAAAGTAGCAGCATTCCCTACCTAAAGTAGCAGCATTCCCTACCTAAAGTAGCAGCATTCCCTACCTAGAGTAGCAGCATTCCCTACCTAGAGTAGCAGCATTCCCTACCTAGAGTAGCAGCATTCCCTACCTAGAGTAGCAGCATTCTCTACCTAGAGTAGCAGCATTCCCTACCTAGAGTAGCAGCATTCCCTACCTAGAGTAGCAGCATTCCCTACCTAGAGTAGCAGCATTCCCTACCTAGAGTAGCAGCATTCCCTACCTAGAGTAGCAGCATTCCCTACCTAGAGTAGCAGCATTCCCTACCTAAAGTAGCAGCATTCCCTACCTAGAGTAGCAGCATGTCCTACCTAGAGTAGCAGCATGTGCTACCTAGAGTAACAGCCTGTGCTACCTAGAGTAACAGCCTGTCCTACCTACATTAGCAGCATGTCCTACCTACAGTAGCAGCATGTCCTACCTACAGTAGCAGCATGTCCTACCTACATTAGCAGCATGTCCTACCTAAAGTAGCAGCATGACCTACCTACAGTAACAGCATGTCCTACCTACATTAGCAGCATGTCCTACCTACATTAGCAGCATGTCCTACCTAAAGTAGCAGCATGTCCTACTTACAATAGCAGCATGTCCTACCTACATTAGCAGCATGTCCTACCTACAGTATCAACATCTCTTACCTACATTAGCAGCATGTCCTACCTACAGTAGCAGCATGTCCTACCTACAGTAACAGCATGTCCTACCTACAGTAGCAGAATGTCCTACCTACATTAGCAGCATGTCCTACCTAAAGTAGCAGCATGTCCTACCTACAATATCAGCATTTTCTACCTACAGTAGCAGCATGTCATACCTACAGTAACAGCATGTCCTACCTACATTAGCAGCATGTCCTACCTACATTAGCAGCATGTCCTACCTACATTAGCAGCATGTCCTACCTACAGTATCAACATCTCCTACCTACAGTAGCAGCATGTCCTACCTACAGTAGCAGCATGTCCTACCTACAGTAGCAGCATGTCCTACCTAAAGTAGCAGCATGTCCTACCTACATTAGCAGCATGTCCTACCTACATTAGCAGCATGTCCTACCTAAAGTAGCAGCATGTCCTACCTACAGTAGCAGCACTTCCTACCTACAGTAGCAGCATGTCCTACCTACAGTAACAGCATGTCCTACCTACATTAGCAGAACTTCCTACCTACAGTAGCAGCATGTCCTACCTAAAGTAGCAGCATGTCCTACCTACATTAGCAGCATGTCTTACCTAAAGTAGCAGCATGTCCTACCTAGAGTAGCTGCATTGCCTACCTAGAGTAGCAGCATTCCCTACCTAGAGTAGCAGCATTCCCTACCTAGAGTAGCAGCATTCCCTACCTAGAGTAGCAGCATTCCCTACCTAGAGTAGCAGCATTCCCTACCTAGAGTAGCAGCATTCCCTACCTAGAGTAGCAGCATTCAATACCTAGAGTAGCAGCATTCCCTACCTAAAGTAGCAGCATTCCCTACCTAGAGTAGCAGCATGTCCTACCTAGAGTAGCAGCATGTCCTACCTAGAGTAGCAGCATTCCCTACCTAGAGTAGCAGCATTCCCTACCTAGAGTAGCAGCATTCCCTACCTAAAGTAGCAGCAGCACCTTCCCTACCTAAAGTAGCAGCATTCCCTACCTAAAGTAGCAGCATTCCCTACCTAGAGTAGCAGCATTCCCTACCTAAAGTAGCAGCATTCCCTACCTAAAGTAGCAGCATTCCCTACCTAAAGTAGCAGCATTCCCTACCTAAAGTAGCAGCATTCCCTACCTAAAGTAGCAGCATTCCCTACCTAAAGTAGCAGCATTCCCTACCTAAAGCAGCAGCATTCCCTACCTAAAGTAGCAGCATTCCCTACCTAAAGTAGCAGCATTCCCTACCTAAAGTAGCAGAATTCCCTACATAGAGTAGCAGCATTCCCTACCTAGAGTAGCAGCATTCCCTACCTAGAGTAGCAGCATTCCCTACCTAGAGTAGCAGCATTCCCTACGTAGAGTAGCAGCATTCCCTACCTAGAGTAGCAGCATTCCCTACCTAGAGTAGCAGCATTCCCTACCTAGAGTAGCAGCATTCCCTAAGTAGAGTAGCAGCATTCTCTACCTAAAGTAGCAGCATTCCCTACCTAGAGTAGCAGCATGTCCTACCTAGAGTAGCAGCATGTCCTACCTAGAGTAACAGCCTGTCCTACCTACATTAGCAGCATGTCCTACCTAAAGTAGCAGCATGTCCTACCTACAGTAACAGCCTGTCCTACCTACATTAGCAGCATATCCTACCTACAGTAGCAGCATGTCCTACCTACATTAGCAGCATGTCCTACCTAAAGTAGCAGCATGACCTACCTACAGTAACATCATGTCCTACCTACATTAGCAGCATGTCCTACCTACATTAGCAGCATGTCCTACCTAAAGTAGCAGCATGTCCTACTTACAGTAGCAGCATGTCCTACCTACATTAGCAGCATGTCCTACCTACAGTATCAACATCTCCTACCTACATTAGCAGCATATCCTACCTACAGTAGCAGCATGTCCTACCTACAGTAGCAGCATGTCCTACCTACAGTAAAAGCATGTCCTACCTACATTAGCAGCATGTCCTACCTAAAGTAGCAGCATGTCCTACCTACAGTAGCAGCATTTTCTACCTACAGTAGCAGCATGTCCTACCTACAGTAACAGCATGTCCTACCTACATTAGCAGCATGTCCTACCTACATTAGCAGCATGTCCTACCTACATTAGCAGCATGTCCTACCTACAGTATCAACATCTCCTACCTACAGTAGCAGCATGTCCTACCTACATTAGCAGCATGTCCTACCTACAGTATCAACATCTCCTACCTACAGTAACAGCATGTCCTACCTACATTAGCAGCATGTCCTACCTACAGTAGCAGCATGTCCTACCTACAGTAGCAGCACTTCCTACCTACAGTAGCAGCATGTCCTACCTACAGTAACAGCATGTCCTACCTACATTAGCAGCATGTCTTACCTAAAGTAGCAGCATGTCCTACCTACAGTAGCAGCATATCCTACCTACAGTAGCAGCATGTCCTACCTACAGTAGCAGCATGTCCTACCTAAAGTAGCAGCATGTCCTACCTACAGTAACAGCATATCCTACCTACAGTAGCAACATATCCTACCTACAGTAGCAGCATGTCCTACCTAAAGTAGCAGCATGTCCTACCTACAGTAGCAGCATATCCTACCTACAGTAGCAGCATATCCTACCTACAGTAGCAGCATGTCCTACCTACAGTAGCAGCATATCCTACCTACAGTAGCAGTATGTCCTACCTACAGTAGCAGCGTATCCTACCTACATTAGCAGCATATCCTACCCACAGTAGCAGCATGTCCTACCTACAGTAGCAGCATGTCCTACCTACAGTAGCAGCATGTCCTACCTACAGTAACAGCATGTCCTAGCTACAGTAGCAGCATGTCCTACCTACAGTAGCAGCATGTCCTACCTACAGTAGCAGCATGTCCTACCTAAAGTAGCAGCATTCCCTACCTACAGTAACAGCATGTCCTACCTCAAGTAGCAGCATATCCTACCTACAGTAGCAGCATGTCCTAAAGTAGCAGCATTTCCTACCTACAGTAGCAGCATATCCTACCTACAGTAACAGCATGTCCTACCTCAAGTAGCAGCATATCCTACCTACAGTAGCAGCATGTCCTACCTAAAGTGGCAGCATTTCCTACCTACAGTAGCAGCATATCCTACCTGCAGAAGCAGCATGTCCTACCTAGAGTAGCAGCATGTCCTACGTACAGTTGCAGCACGTCCTACCAAAAGTAGCTGCATGTCCTACCTACAGTAGCAGTGTGTCCTACCTATAGTAGCAGCATGTCCTACCTACAGTAGCAGCACTACCTACAGTAGCAGCATGTCCTACCTACAGTAGCAGCATTCCCTACCTACAGTAGCAGCATGTCCTACCTACAGTAACAGCATGTCCTACCTACATTAGCAGCATGTCCTACCTAAACTAGCAGCATGTCCTTCTTACAGTAGCAGAATGTCCTACCTACAGTAGCAGCATGTCCTACCTACAGTATCAACATCTCCTACCTACATTAGCAGCATGTCCTACCTACAGTAGCAGCATGTCCTACCTACAGTAGCAGCATGTCCTACCTACAGTAACAGCACGTCCTACCTACATTAGCAGCATGTCCTACCTAAAGTAGCAGCATGTCCTACCTACAGTAGCAGCATTTCCTACCTACAGTAGCAGCATATCCTACCTACAGTAGCAGCATATCCTACCCACAGTAGCAGCATGTCCTACCCACAGTAGCAGCATTTCCTACCTACAGTAGCAGCATATCCTACCTACAGTAACAGCATATCCTACCTACAGTAGCAGCATATCCTACCTGCAGAAGCAGCATGTCCTACCTAGAGTAGCAGCATGTCCTACGTACAGTTGCAGCACGTCCTACCAAAAGTAGCTGCATGTCCTACCTACAGTAGCAGTGTGTCCTACCTATAGTAGCAGCATGTCCTACCTACAGTAGCAGCACTACCTACAGTAGCAGCATGCCCTACCTATAGTAGCAGCACTACCTACAGTAGCAGTGTGTCCTACCTACAGTAGCAGCGCTATCTACAGTAGCAGCATGTCCTACCTACAGTAGCAGCACTACCTACAGTAGCAGCACTACCTACAGTAGCAGCACTACCTACAGTAGCAGTATGTCCTACCTAAAGTAGCAGCACTACTTACAGTAGCAGCATGTCCTACCTACAGTAGCAGCACTACCTACAGTAGCAGCACTACCTACAGTAGCAGTATGTCCTACCTAAAGTAGCAGCACTACTTACAGTAGCAGCATGTCCTACCTACAGTAGCAGCACTACCTACAGTAGCAGCACTACCTACAGTAGCAGCACTACCTACAGTAGCAGTGTGTCCTACCTACAGTAGCAGCATGTCCTACCTAAAGCAGCAAGGATAGCTGCTGACCAGAAGATATCCCCACAGACCGCTGGCAGGTACAACAGACAGTTCATTAAATCGCCATACTTCCAATGGAAGGGGTCGAGCATGGTCGTGAAGCCTGAGTCTCGCATCTTGTCCGAGAAGAACAGTCCTCCTGTAAACAAAAATGTGTGGTTAGAATCATGTTTTTTTCTTCGCAAACTGCGATTAATTTTTCGATAGCGAAATTTTTGTGTGTGTGTTTGTGTGATGTGTGAAATAAAGGTAATATCTCATACACTGATAACTCGGGTCACGAAAGCCTGTATGCACGAACACAATTTCCAAACAAATTTTGACTCGACCCGCGAACAATGCCTTGACCTACGAACGCACAAACATGGTTCTGACGCCATAGTGTCTCTAACAAACAGCATCAGTTGTAGTCTAGTTTGAGCGCTGCAAACCTGGTTTGTCGTTTCGTTCCCCTCATAAAGAAAATATGTTTTGTGTTTGCATTAAATAAGCCTTAACTATGGCTCCTAAGATAGTGAAAAATATTAGTGACGAATAGTAAAAGTGATCTGTTGTGTCTGATTGAAAGCACTAATACAGTATACATTTGAACCATTTGTTGTGAAATATTCTTTCATGAGTGTTTACAATAAGTCTGTAACTGACCACATGATACAAAATGGCTAGACAAAGTTACTGCTGTAACAGGTTATAGAAAAGTATGTGCTTCTATAGTCCTAAGTAACGCGTGTTGCGTTGGCTCTAGAACGTTAGCTCTACTCCGTGTTTTCTCCACGATAGACTGGCTGGCTCTGCACCACTTGGTGATGAACTGATGAATGACAAGCTGGATTTTGTGAGGACCCTTTGGGAACTGTTGAACAGTGCGGAGGCACGGATGGATCATTACGGTCTGAGGAGAATGGCGCTGCGAGGACTTACCAGGAGATCTGGCCGACTCAGGGAAAGGATGAGGCGAATATACAATCAGACGTTTACTAGGACCATTAGAATTAGATTTCATTTATAATAAAATACTGACTAATGTGAGACCTCACAACATCACAGAATACCAAGCAACCGAGCACACCTTAGTTTGGCTATCCATCGTCTTCTAAACTGCAATACCTGGTCATACAAAGCATGCATTTACAAACATAATAATAAAAAATAAAAAAAACGTGGCATACTGTAGTCTCCCCCCCCCCACCCCATATGCAATTTTAAGCGCATAATAAAATTGAGGAAGGCACTAATGACGACGACAATGATAACAACGATGATGATTATGAGGATGATGATAATGAAAATGATGACGATGACAATAATAATGAAGACAATGATGATAATGACGATGATAACGACTGTGTGGAAAGTCTGCGACTGAAAAAAAGACAGTTACAACTTAACCGAAAATGAGGCTAATGGCGTATCCCACAGGAGCCTGGCACCAGACAAGACCACCCGCTGCTGCTACAACCTCAGTGGTGCCATTGATGTAGCCTCCACCAACCCAGGTAGCTGGAACACAACATTGTCACCACGAGACCGTATTAGACATCATCATATTACATACACTGTCTGACAAATATCTGGACAATACAATAGCAGTTAGAACGCCATATTTAGATATTGCAGATGCGGAAAGATACATTTATGTGGTAGCTGGAAACGCGCCAGGGTTAACGGGCTTGGTAGTCCGTGGGTTAAGTAGGTTAGCTGTACGTTGCTGGGAGAGACAAAATCTTCTTGATTATAATCATTCATAATATTTAAAGAATTAACACATGACAGAACAGAGTTGAGCCCTAGATTAAGAGCCTTATGTGACTTATAACAAAACGACAAGATGACAACTACGGTGTAATGATGAAGCCGATGGTGAAATTAGGTGTAAGAATAAGATATGTAGCATTATGATCAAGGTAATTAGCTAATCGAATAACGAGTGTTACATATTGAATATAATGATTAGCTGCCTAGATTCTTGTGACCTCGTGAACAAAAACGTAGCGGAAATAGTAGTAAAGAAAATTACTCCAAAATCCTTAGCATCACAATGGATCGGTCCACGCCGTGACCAGTTTAGAGAAAGATCATTCTCTCGCTTTAGAACATTGGTACGGGAGGAGCACCATGGCAGAGATTATGCATTTACACACTGTCTGACGTTTCATTCAAACTTTCTCAGACTCTTCTTCGTCAGAGGGGTGTCACGGTATGTTGCCTCCAATTAAAACAACGCCGATGTCGCGTGTTCTGTACTACACAACGACACTGCTTTCAACGACCACAGAACATCTAAAACTCGCTCTAACCCAACACGCCCTTCCCCTACCCACAGCCTGAGCCTAGGTCACACGAGAGACTCTTTTCGAAGAAACCCGTACAACGTGATACCCCTCAGTCCTTGATCAGACTCAGAAAGTGTGTAGATGGGCCGGCAAACGTGAACAGGACCTTGTTCGCGCCAATACCTCAGTCACTGTGATCTTGTCTTACCACTTAATAAAAAGTCTTATTCCTAGACATCGTCTGTGAAAGTTATTTAGCCTTTTTTCCTAGTGAATAAACGGATCAAGTTTTGCTTACAGTAAACGATGAGTGCTGAGAACACAGGTTTTTATTATAATCGTGAGCCTTGTTTCCCCCCAAACTGTGTTAATTTGCTTATTGTTGCTCCTGTTTTACCTATACTGATTTTGATTTCTTGGTTCAGGAATAGTTTATTATTCACCTAGGATCCCAGATTTGTAAAATGGTTAACTGCCTCCAGTCCCACTCCCACACTCCCCCCCCCCTCTCTTTTTTTTTCTGCCCGCCAGTCAGTGAAGGGTGCCAGTCTATCATTTGCACCTTGCTTCACAATATTTATCTCAGTTTTTCTTATTGTTAGTTCTTTCATAATTGTCAACCATTACCACTTAAGCCACTTAACCATAATCTTTAATATCTATGAACCAGCCGTCCTTTTTACACTTTCAAATGTAGTATAAACAAAAACAAAACAAAAAACATGAATTCTAAGAAGTGGATTGGACACACTCACCTGTCATCGTGAAGGTCCCCATAAATACACCGATAGATCTATTGGCTAACATCACATCATCAATTTTAAGATTCTTGGTTCGGAACCCAGTTTTCCTGGCGGCCCATAGTCCCACAACCAGGATGGCGACGTAGAAGACGATGACGGAGACGAGGCCAGCGATATCCACCGACATGTCAGCTGTTTTCTTGTTCTAATACAAGCACCGATAGTGACCAACAATTGCCACTGGCACTGGCAGAAGTGAAACTCTACGATGGCTGCTGAAAATGAGGACAGTGCATGAGGAAATGTTGGAGTGTTGAGATTCCAGCTCTTGATTTTGTTCAGCTCAGATCAGCGGCAACTGCAACGACCATCAAAGTATCAATGATTAATTAGTTTGTTAATTTAAAATTTATTTCATGAACAACGAGCAGCCATAAGAGTAGCCAAAGGAACATCAAACAGGTTCGATGTGCAAATTCGAATAATGCTGGCGTGCATTCTCTCACCACATATATACTGTAAACTTTCGTCTACAAAAATGGGTCGCATCGCCAGTGAACAGTTTCGTGTGAACAAAATAATCGAGCTGTGCTCGGTCGTCATATTTCCTAGACCAGTGCTAATCAACCGGCGGCCCTGGAGCAGAAATGTGACCCTCGGAGGCCTAGCGAGTGGCCCGCCGATCGTTGCCACTGAAATTTAGCATATAAAAAAAAAATTAGTGCTTCTGTATAAATCTTCAAAACCCAGTTATGTCGAATGTGAAAAAAGAAAATATTTGTCATTGATCTCTAAATGCGACGATACAAGGGAACGGGCGTATGAACAGACAATACCACAACTGGGGGAATGTTTCATGCATAGAAATGTAATTAGTTCACGGTCAAAGTTACTGCAAATAGCAGAACTCGACTGTTTGGAGCCAAAAGTATTAAGACAGTATGGAAAGAATCAAGTAACCGGTAGGAAGCAATCGCTCCACTGAACAGTAAATGAAGGTTAGATATTTATTGGACAGAAAGCGTATGAAAATACCAGCCCGGTCAAGATAGTTATCGCTTACATTACAGAGAAACTCTCCTTAATGGTGACCACTAGTACAATCGCTAATGACATTGGCACTGGAAACCGCAAAACACCTGCTAATGATCTTATTATCAGATTATAATCAGATTTTTTTCACATACAAATCATAGCCAAACGTAGATTGCTGGACGCGATTGTGAAATATTAACAGTTTTGAGCTATCTAAATTTTAATAATTTGGTTAAATACTTGCTGCCATGGCTGGTACTATTGCCTAAACTATTTTGTTAGCGACAGAAAACAAGAGTTAACGCAGTCTGGAAAAAGAGAATAGACCTAACGTTTGTCAAACAGTGTGCTTCAGGCAATCTACTGTCGACTCCTACGAATAATTGTCATTGTTACTGTTTGCTGGAGGACACAGACCTCTGATATACATTGACGGCACCTGGCTGGTCATACAGCCCTGCGACAGACAATCTATCCAAACACACATTAAACTGAACACCCGCAGAGCACTCACAACAATCTTTAATGTAAAGCAGATTTACATGAGAAAGTTGACGTCAAGAGATGTAGGCACCCTTATCCGAAACGCAGGCGGTGATGGCAAAAAAAAGAATATGCTGAAGAAGACAAAGGATAAAAAGAAGAGGAAAAGGAAGAAAGAAGAAGAAGAAGAATAAGAAGAAGAAGAAGAAGAAGAAGAAGAAGAAGAAGAGAAGAAAAAGAAGAAGAAGAAGAAGAAGAAGAAGAAGTAAGAAGAAGAAGAAGAAGAAGAATAAGAAGAAGAAGAAGAAGAAGAAGAAGAAGAAGAAGAAGAAGAAGAGAAGAAGAAGAAGAAGAAAAAGAAGAAGAAGAAAGAAGAAGAAGAAGAAGAAGAAGAACAAGAAACAAGAAGAAGAAGAAGAAGAAGAAGAAGAAAGAAGAAGAAGAAAGAAGAAGAACAAGAAGAAGAAGAAGAAGAAGAAGAAGAAGAAGAAGAAGAAGAAGAAGAAGAAGAAGAAGAAGAAGAAATAAGGAAGAAGAAGAAGAAAGAAGAAGAAGAAGAAGAAGAAGAAGAAGAAGAAGAAGAAGAAGAAGAAGAAGAAGAAGAAAGAAGAAGAAGAAGAAGAAGAAGAAGAAGAAGAAGAAAGAAGAAGAAGAAGAAGAAGAAAGAAGAAGAAGAAGGAGAAAGAAAAGAAGAAGAAGAAGAAGAAGAAGAAGAAAAGAAGAAGAAGAGAAGAAGAGAAGAAGAAGAAGAAGAAGAGAAAGAAGAAAGAAGAAGAAGAAGAGAGAAGAAGAAGAAGAAGAAGAAGAAGAAGAAGAAGAAGAAGAAGAAGAAGAAAAAGAAGAAGAGAAGAAGAGAAAAAGAAGAACCCCTAGAAAAAACATTTCCAAGCAGAAAAAAGAAGCACCCCTAGAAAACATTTCCAGAAACGCTGCATTAGCGTCTTGTTAGCCTGGTTTGGTGACGTCAGCGGCATGGCCCTAAGCTAGAGCCAGTCAATATACACACCAATAATTAAATATCCACACATAGGAAATAATACATACACACACACATACACACACACACACACAAATATATATATATATATAAATATATATATATATATATATATATATATATATATATATATATATATATATATATATATATCATCATCATCCGTTCTCGTTATGCCTAGTGGCACATAAGGCTTCAGAGAGGACTTTTTATGCTTTCCTGTCCTGTGCAATCTTCAGTGCAGTTTTCCATGTCAAAGATGCGGAACTCAGGTCACTTTCCATCGTTCGTCTCCATGTTGTTTTTGGGCGCCCCTGTTTTCTCTTTCCCTCTGGTGTCCATGTGAGAGCTGTTTTGGCAGGTATATCAGGATTCATTCTCATAACGTGGCCAAGCCATTTCCATCTTCTCTTGGTTATCGTACTGTCTAAAGTTTCTTGGTTTGTGACTTGAAGTAGTTGAGTGTTTGAGATTGGATCTGGCCAGAAAATTTTGATAATTCTACGTAGACATGTGTGGTGGAAGGTGGACAGCTTGTGTGCATCCTTCTTGGTCATTCTCCAGCATTCCGCTCCATAAAGAAGAACTGGCAAAATGATGCTCTTGTAGAGTCGGAGTTTTGTTCCTCTGCAGTAATTGTTGGATTTCCAGATTTGCCTCATTCTTCCAAAAGCAGCTCTAGCTTTGTTCAGACGTGACTGTATGTCTTCGTCCCTCCGAGTAGGGACACCACACTGCCAAGATAAGTGAAATGTTCTACATTTTCAAGTGATTGGTTACTTATGGTCACTGGTTGTTGGTTAGGACTGTTTGTCATGATCTTAGTTTTCTTTGTATTTATTCTCAGTCCCACCATTTCTGCTGTGCAGTGTAGTTACTTTTCTCTTGTATATGTTCATGTTTATGTTATAGGAGTGCTTTATCATCTGCAAAATCAAGGTCCTCAAGCATGGTGAATTGAGTCCATCGAATGCCTCTTAATATCCTGTCTACTGTGTTCTTTAGTATCCAATCAATCACAAGGTTGAAGAGGAGAAATGACATAACACATCCCTGTCTTACACCTTTTCTTTACTGGGAAAGATGTAATTTTTTATACTGCAGGAAAAGTCTTTATAGAAGAGAGCAATTATGTTGACTATTTTTTCTGGAATTCCACAATGACGTAAAATTTTCCACAGACCGTCTCTATGGACGCTGTCAAAAGCTTTCTCAAAGTCCACAAAATTAATATATATACTTCTCTGCCATTCATTGCATTGTTCTAAAATGTTACGTATGGCGAAGATGTGCTCAGTTGTTCCTCTGCCCTTTCTGAATCCTGCTTGTTCCACTCGTAGGCATTTATCTACTCTTTTTTCAAGCCGTATTATGATGATTTTACAAAATATTTTGCTTGGTACTGAGAGTAGAGTAATTTCCCTCCAATTATTGCAGTCTGTTAAGTCTCCTTTTTCGGGGATTTTGACTATTGTTCCTTCAGTCCAGTCATCAGGCAACACTTCTTTTTCCCAAATATCCTTGAACAATGGTTCTAGAATGCTAGCAGTTGTGTTAGGATCTACTTTGAGAAGTTCTGCTGGCAGTTCGTCTTTGCCTGGTGCTTTGTTGTTCTTTAAAGTGTGGATAGCTTTAAGGATTTCTTGTTTGCTTGGTGGTTCAGTTATAATGTCAATGTCCTGAGAGGCTGGTTGAAAATCTGGGAGATTTTCAGGATCAGGTCTGTTCAAGAGGTCGGAGAAGTGTTTAGTCCACTGCATGTCTTGTTTTTGTTCTGTGGTGAGCAGTCTGCCCTGGTTATCTCTGACGGGTATGCTGTGATAATTGTTTCTGTTTCCGCAAATTTGCTGGGAAATTTTGTGTAGGGTTTGTATATCATGTGCTTTAGCAGCATTTTCTACGGCTTCTGCAAGATTTTCCATAAATCCTCTCTTGTCAGCTCTGGCACCTTTCTTTGTCATTTTATTTAGTTCGCTATATTCTAACAGTAGTTTGTCTTTCTGACGTTCTGATTTAGTGTGATTTATGAGGCTCTTTATTATTTTTCGCTTGGCAATATAGTCTATGGTTTGACTACTTATCCATTTTTGTGGTGTTGTTTCCTGGTTCCTAGTATGTTATTGCTAGTTGATTTGTATGTTTCTTTGATCTGGGTCCATCTGTCTTGAATGCTGATTGTAGTTGGAGTTTCTGGGTCACTTGATAGGGTTTGAAATCTATTCTTGAGTTCTATTATAAATTTAGTGGCAATGTCTTTTTCTCTTAAAAGGTTAACATTGTAACGTGCTGTCTGTGTCTTAACTTGCGTGTAAACTTTTTTGAGTTTAAGTCGTACTAGAGCAACTACAAGGGGATGATCGCTTCCTACATCTGCTCCCCTTTTGACACGCACATCCAATAGGGACCCACGCCATTTTCTGTTTACCATGAAATGGTCGATCTGGTTTACATCTCTTCTGTTTGGGGATATCCATGTAAGCTTGTGTATATTCTTGTGAGGAAATAGTGTTCATCCTATAACAAGTCTATTAGCAGTGCAGAAGTCGCTCAGTCTTTCCCCGTTGTCATTAATTGTACCACATCACCGATTTCCCATTGATAGTTCTCTATTCAAGTTGTTGTTACCAACTTTTGCATTGAGATCTCCCATAATGCATAGAATATCATGGGCT